GATCCCAGCAACCAGTTTCATTACCTTGCAATTGCCGGAGTTAAACTCTAGTGGACATTTGTTGAACTATTGTTTCAATTTGTCTGGGTCATCTTGTTGTTGTTGTTGTTGTGAGCAGTATGCTGATGTACAGATGGTGGTGATAGCTTGATCGGTTGATGGTGGTGATAGCTTGATCGGTTAGACTGTTTCTTGCAGCGGCCCGCAGGTCCGTTACAACCTAGATGATTCGGCACTTCTTAGAAGGAACGTGTCCAATTGTGCGTGTGGATGGTGTGGGTGTGCGTGTGGATGGTGTGGGTGTGCGTGTGGATGGTGTGGGTGTGCGTGTGGATGGTGTGGGTGTGCGTGTGGATGGTGTGTGGGTGTGCGTGTGGATGGTGTGGGTGTGGGTGTGGATGGTGTGGGTGTGCGTGTGGATGGTGTGGGTGTGCGTGTGGATGGTGTGGGTGTGGGTGTGGATGGTGTGTGGGTGTGCGTGTGGATGGTGTGGGTGTGCGTGTGGATGGTGTGGGTGTGCGTGTGGATGGTGTGGGTGTGCGTGTGGATGGTGTGGGTGTGCGTGTGGATGGTGTGTGGGTGTGGGTGTGGATGGTGTGGGGTGTGCGTGTGGATGGTGTGGGTGTGCGTGTGGATGGTGTGGGTGTGCGTGTGGATGGTGTGGGTGTGTGTGTGGATGGTGTGGGGTGTGCGTGTGGATGGTGTGGGGTGTGCGTGTGGATGGTGTGGGTGTGTGTGTGGATGGTGTGGGTGTGCGTGTGGATGGTGTGGGGTGTGCGTGTGGATGGTGTGGGTGTGTGTGTGGATGGTGTGGGGTGTGCGTGTGGATGATTCAGACTGATTACTCACCTCACTAATAATACAAATTTCATTCAATTATTTAATCGTTAGATTGATCCGAGAACCCGTAAGGCAAAGGGGGGGGAGGCGATGACCCCCCCCCACCCCCCTTGCTGGGGCTCATGGGTGGGGGGTTCACACCCCCTGTGGGGCTGACACACACCCCCCCCCTTCCCAGGGAGAATGAATCCATGGAACAGAATAATACGACGTCAATCTCCAATCTCCAACGTGAGATTGGAGATTGGTTGACAGCGACAATCTTCAACATGAGATTGGAGATTGGTTGACAGCGACAATCTTCAACATGACACAAGTGTCAAAAGTGACACAAGTGTGACACAAGTGTCTGGAAGACATTATTACACAAACAGGAAATGAGTTGGACCAAATCTACAGTGATGACTCCTGCTAATCCTGCTAATGACAGCACGTGTTAATTAGCAACAGCGTCTTTCAAAACAAAACAAAATACTGAAATAAGGAACACTAACGTATAGAGAACTACGCACACGTCTCCTATGCCGGGTGAGTAAGACGGGCTCACCATAGCCCGTGCTACTTACAACTTTTTTTATCCCAATAGCTGAATCTAAACCCATTAACAAGAGAGAACTAGCGGCTACTCAATGGAAGCAGAGCTAACTGCCGTTGTTATGGTTACCTTGAGGTGCTTCCGGGGCTTAGCGTCCCCGCGGCCCGGTCGTCGACCAGGCCTCCTGGTTGCCGGACTGATCAACCAGGCTGTTGGACGCGGCTGCTCGCAGCCTGACGTATAAGTCACAGCCTGGTTGATCAGATGGTAGTAAGATACCTAGAGAGAACAACAGAACAGAACTACACCATTTCAAAAGTCTTAGGGAAAAAAAGGAGGGCCAAAAAGCGAGGTATATCCAGAGAGGTGAGAGAATATACTCAGCCATCAGTGGTGGGAGCGTGGAGGTGCTGTGGGAGGTCCCCTCCCACGCTGGGAGTCTCAGGAAGTGAACACTCCAAGTGGACTGGACGTTAGATATCCTGGTGGACAAGAGGAAGCGTGACAGGGCGTTAGATAAGAGTGGACAGAGACCAACCGTGACAGCCAAGCTTGGGGGAGTAGAAGAACTCCCAGAACCCCATCAACCAGGTATCGTAAAGCTAGGTTAGGTTAGGTTAGGTATCTAACCTAACCTAACCTAACCTAACCTAACCTAACCTAACCTAACCTTGAGATTCCTGCCATATTCAGATTTATAAAGACAATTATAATCCTGGCAGTTAATCCTTAAGTTAATCCTGGCATAATCCTCGCACGATATCCGTTGGACGTAGGGTTCAGTAGACAAGTTCTGTGGGACATTAATCCCCCTACCCCCCCCCCCTCCACAGGTCTTACCAAACCGGTTAAACTATCCAGGAATTGGGATCTTGTATCTGGCCTCCAGGTCCCGACACCCTGTTTCATTACCTTGCACTTACTGAAAGTTTAACTCAAGCAGCCACCGACTACTGTACCATTCTTCCAGTTTATCCACGTCATCTTTTTGCGTTTGTTCTGGGCGCACCTCACAGTAATTCACAGGTCCTCGGGAGACGAGATTGCCAAACTTTGAGCAGGAAGTTAGAGAGAGTTGTGATGTGTGGGGGTGGGGGGTGGGGGGGGGGGGTGTTTTGAGAGGCACCTAAACTCCGTACTACTGGAAAATGGTCCGTAAGGAGGCCTACCAGATCCTCACCCATGGCTAGAGGTGATTGTGGAGATCAATGCACCCCACCAGGAGCCAGATTCACGAAAGCAGTTACGCAAGCACTTACGAACCTGTACATCTTTTCTCGATCTTTGGCGGTTTTGTTTACAATTGTTAAACAGTTAATGAGCTCCGAAGCACCAGGAGGCTGTTTATAACAATAACAACAGTTGATTGGCAAGTTTTCATGCTTGTAAACTGTTTAATAAATGTAACCAAAGCCGTCAAAGATTGAGGAAAGATGTACACGTTCGTAAGTGCTTGCGTAACTGCTTTCGTGAATCTCTCTCTCTCTCTCTCTCTCTCTCTCTCTCTCTCTCTCTCTCTCTCTCTCTCTCTCTCTCTCTCTCTCTCTCTCTCTCTCTCTCTCTCTCTCTCTCTCTCTATATATATATATATATATATATATATATATAAAACTGAAAACTCCACACCCCAGAGGGATTCGAACCCAGACAGCCAGGAGCACTATGCACCTTGGCGTACCTGAACCACTAGACCACTCGACTGTACAAAAGTGTTGGTAGTCCTTAGACCATTTATCCAAGACCCGACAGCGCTCGGTGTTGTTTGTTGTTTAAGATTCAGCTACTGGGAAATGGAGTTCCAAGTAGCACGGGCTATGGCGAGCCCGTAGTAGACTTACCTGGCACAGGAGCGGGGCTGTGAGCGCTCGGTGGTCAACTTGGGCATAGTTCATCGAATCACCTCACTTGGTCAATGGGTGATTGAAATGCAGTGATTGCATTGCATTGCAACCCGTTCTCGCAAATTCGTAAAGTCAATATTGACTTATTAAATAAGTGCATAGGTGACATACTAAACATAATAGATACCCTTAAAAAGCTTCATAGAAAACACCGACCTCACCTAACCGTCTTAGTATGTTAAGATAAGCATCTTATTGCTTCGTAATCTAAGTATTACTTAACCTATACCTATAATAGGTTAAGTAATAATTGTAATTACGAAGCATAAGATGCTTATCTTAACATACTAAGAAGGTTAGGTAAGGTCGGTGTTTTCTATGAAGCTTTTTAAGGGTATCTATTATGTTTAGTATATCACCTATGCACGTAGTTAATAAGTCAATATTGACTATACGAATTTGCGAGAACGGGTTGTGCATTGATGGCTTAGCTGGTAGTAGCTACGTAAGTAGCTGCGTAGATACGGGTGATTGAAATGCAATGATTGCAATGCAGTGGGGTGATTGAAATGCAGGATTGAACCAGTGAAGAGCAGAGGTGCCATAGGCACAATCAGAGAACACTATAAACATCAGAGGTCCGCGGTTGTTCAACGTCCTCCCAGCGAGCATAAGAAATATTGCCGGAACAACCGTGGACATCTTCAAGAGGAAACTAGATTGTTTTCTAAGAGAAGTTCCGGATCAGCCGGGCTGTGGTGGGTATATGGGCCTGCGGGCCGCTCCAAGCAACAGCCTGGTGGACCAAACTCTCACAAGTCAAGCCTGGCCTCGGGCCGGGCTTGGGGGAGTAGAAGAACTCCCAGAACCCCATCAACCAGGTATATGTGGGCCTGCGGGCCGCTCCAAGCAACAGCCTGGTGGACCAAACTCTCACAAGTCAAGCCTGGCCTCGGGCCGGGCTTGGGGAGTAGAAGAACTCCCAGAACCCCATCAACCAGGTATTCCCCCTCCCCCCCCCTCTCCCTTTTTTTTGCATTTTTGTTTAAGAGGAGGTAAGCTTGGGAGGAGATGGGTGGGGCAAGGAATAGTGTGCAGGAAGCGGTTAGTAACAGTCGCCTTGTTCCATGTTTATATAATGCGGCGGTAGAGGCTCCCGGGTACATCAGTTTGGTTATTTCTATGATAATTGGCACGGGGGGAGGAGGGGGGGGAAAGGGATGCCCAGACGAGGGTACAAACTTTCAAGAGACCACTGAGACGTGTGTGTGTGTGTGTGTGTGTGTGTGTGTGTGTGTGTGTGTGTGTGTGTGTGTGTGTGTGTGTGTGTGTGTGTGTGTGTGTGTGTGTGTGTGTGTGTGTGTGTGTGTTCTGGTGATGGGATCAACCGGGCTGTGATGGGCACGTATGGGGGTTGTGCAGGCTACGTCCAGCAACAGTCTCGTTGACCCGTTAATCACCAGGGATGCCTGGTCCCATCTGCCTGGTGAAAGGGGGGGGGGGTGGATAGACTGGTGGTTATACTCAGCTAATTGTGTTTGCGGGGGTTGAGCTCTGGCTCTTTGGTCCCGCCTCTCAACCGTCAATCAACAGTTGGACATCATTACACACGCTAGTTCTCTCTTTATCTAATTGTTGCTGCTTCCTCCATCACTCTCCTTCCTCTCTCCCTCTCTCTCTCTCCCTCACTTCCGCCCTCTCTCCCTTCCTCTTGTTTGATCATGTTAATCTTGCCTTTGGTCAACTAAGGTTAGGTGATAATGAGGAGAAAGCACCAAGCCAAGATGACTGTAGAGAACATGGACGGGGTAGGAGTCGGGAGCCAGATTCACGAAGCAGTTACACAAGCACTTACGAACCTGTACATCTTTTCTCAATCTTCGGCGGCTTTGTTTACAATTATTAAACAGTTAATGAGCTCCGAAGCACCAGGAGGCTGTTTATAACAATAACAACAGTTGATTGGCAAGTTTTCATGCTTGTAACCAAAGCCGTCAAAGATTGAGGAAAGATGTACCGGTTCGAAAGTGCTTGCGTAACTGCTTCGTGAATCTGGCCCCAGGATAGTTAGGGGGGGGGGGAACTAGTAATGGGACGGTGCCTTAACCACTACCACCATCAAGTATCCACTTTACGGGGCTATTCATGCCCATGCCACCTCTTAGGTGGCATAATCTTTACCAATCAATCAGTCATCCATCGTCCATCTGCCACAAGCCAAACCGTTACTGTGCTCATCTAAATCTTTATTATTTCCTGAAGATTGTCGAGAAGACCTCACAAGCGCACGCGCACACACGCTCGCACGCAGATGATACGAAATTAACGAGGGAAGTTTTGAGAGGTGAGGATTATAGGATTCTCCAAGAGGACTCGGAACAAGCTGCAGAGATGTGCGGGTAAATGGCTATTGGAGTTCAATACGCGGAAGTGTAAAGTGATGGGAACAGGTGACGGGAGACTAAAGGGACTGTCAACAATGAGGGGAAACTACCTTGTTTGACACCACCTGCCTGACAGCTGGTGTTTGACACCACCTGCCTGACAGCTGGTGCTTGACACCACCTGCCTGACAGCTGGTGTTTGACAGGATGCTGTTTAACAATCGCATTCGAAGGCGACTGTTACTTACTGTTACCCTACCTTGAGGTGATTTCGGGGCGTAGCGACCCCGCGGCCCGGTCGTCGACCAGGCCTCCTCGTTGCTTGACTGGTCAACCCAGGCTGTTGGACGCGGCTGCTCGCAGCCTGACGTAGGAGTGTTGCTTATATGCGTGTAACTGTTAACTGTTCGTATGATTGTTAACTGCGTGTGTGTAACTGCGAGTGTAGGACTGTGAGGGACAGTTAGCAGAGTGGTGTAGAAGAGTGACTGAAGGAGATAGTCTCAAACCTAACGGTAGAGGGGCAGACGGGCTGGAGACTAGGTGGTAGACAGAGGGGCTAGGTGGTAGACAGAGGAGCTAGGTGGTAGACAGAGGGGCTAGGTGGTTGACAGAGGGGCTAGGTGGTAGACGGAGGGGCTAGGTGGTTGACAGAGGAGCTAGGTGGTAGACGGAGGGGCTAGGTGGTTGACAGGAGCTAGGTGGTAGACAGAGGGGCTAGGTGGTTGACAGAGGGGCTAGGTGGTAGACGGAGGGGCTAGGTGGTAGACGGAGGGGCTAGGTGGTAGACGGAGGGGCTAGGTGGTAGACGGAGGGGCTAGGTGGTAGACAGGAGGAATGGTACGACGGGACTGGGTTCTTGATAGACGGGATCAAGACAGAGGGTTGGGATGGGGCTAGGCTGGTTGTTGTTGTTAAAGATTTGCTACTTGGAACAAAATGTCGCAAGTAGCACGGGCTATGGTGAGCCCGTAATTCTAGGCTGGTGGTGGACGCCCCCCTCACCTCTCCTCCGCCAGCAAGTCTCTCCACTGGTGTAAATATATTCAGAAACCCACCAACAAGGTTTACGGGGATCACCATAGCCCGTGCTACATGGACATTTCGTTCTGAGTAGCTAAATCTAAAACAGCGACAATTACCGTCCTGTCCTTGTTGAGATGACCTTAAACTAGGCAGTTCAGCCTCGTCAATGACCCCTTACATCTTCCAAGGTATCTTCAAGGAGGCTACCAAAACTACCTTCCCAATCCACCTTCCCCTCGTTAATGACGTCTTAACTATCCACTTCATCCACTCAAGGCTACCAAAACTGCCTAATAAGCTTGTCACTCGTATAATGGTATTAAGATCTTTATTTAACCCGCTGGACCCCAGTTCGAATCCCTGTGTCATTGGAAATATAAATAGTAATATTGAACAGTTTGGTGGATTGGACCTTGCTAGGGTTCTGGGAGTTGTTCTACTACTCCCCAAGCCCGGCGCGGGAGCAGGCTTGACTTGTGAGAGCTTGGTCCAACAGGCTGTTTTAGAGAATACACAAGAGTAGGGATGTGAAAGGTCAAAGGTCAGGAGAGCCCTTTCGTGAACTGGTATAAAGGTCCAAGCGCCCTCAAGCGCCAAGCAACAGCTTGGTAGACCAAGTTCTCACAAGTCAAACCTGGCTTCGGGCCGGGCTTGGGGAGTAGAAGAACTTCCAGAAACCCCCATGCGGCCACCCCTACATAGCCCCGCTCCTGTGCCAGGTAAGTTACGGGCTCACCATAGCCCGTGCTACTTGGAACTTGTTCCCAGTAGCTGAATCTATAACAACTATAACATGCGGCCACGGTTCCCAATACATCATGATTATATATATTCTTGTGAGTGGCTCATTTACATATTTACTAGAGGTAAAAGTACAGATTGAAGACTTATGTTGGCTGGCTGACTTATGCTGATGTTGTGTCATTACAGCTGCCGGACGGGTGCGAGCTGACGGTAGGGGAGCTTCGCGACATGGCCAGCAGACAGCAGCAGCAGATAGAGACGCAGCAGCAGCTCCTGGTAGCGCGGGAGCAGCGGCTCAAGTACCTCAAGCAGCAGGAGTCGCGCGCGGCAGCCGTCGCCGCCGAAGCTGACCGACTTCGGCGACTTCGCGAACGCGTCGAGGCGCAAGAGGCCAAGCTCAGACGTCTCCGTGCGCTCCGGGGCCAGGTGAGTCAAGATAAGCATCTTATTGCTTCGTAATTACAATTATTACTTAACCTATTATAGGTATAGGTTAAGTAATACTTAGATTAATTACTATATTATGTTTCCCCACAATCCCAATGTACCTTCTTGTATATATAAGTAAATAAAATAAATAAATAAATATAAATAGGAGCTGCCTCGTATGGGCCAATAGGCCCTTCTGTAGTTACCTTTATTCTTATGTTCGTATGTAATGAAAAACATCTCAAAAGGCTTAGAGTATCTTAGGCTATTTCTACCCTCGTCAATTTCAAGTCCCTCAAGGGACTCACAAATCCATACAGAACACAGATATTAATCTTATTTTACATTTCACTTTCCAATAGTAATCACCTGGTATACTGTGATTACTTATTGATTATGCTGCACCTGTCATATCTTGGTTTGATAAAGGCAGACCAAACACAATGAAACCTTGAGGGTAATCTTAGGAGGCCTAAGAAATGCTCTGAGACAACGAGGATGGAATTGAAATTGAAATAAGTTTATTGAGGTAAAATACACACAAAGGGATGAGGTAGCTCAAGCTATTCTCACCCCGTTCAGTACATCGTGTTAATATATACATAGACACACATCACAAACAATAAACATATTACCGAACATTCTGAGAGATAAACATATACATTTCCTGAGGATGGAATTGAACTTACAGATGAACAAATCTGTGTATTGAACTTACAGAGTATTAGGGGGGGGGAGGGGGGAGAAATTCAGATAAATGTAGTTCCGGCGATTAATGAGATTAATGAGCTAATGAATTAATCCTCTCACTTCAGTAGTTGGGAATTAACTAACAGTGCAGGCTGTTGTATATCAAGAGAGCGCACATGATATTTTAATTTACGGGCTATTCATGCCCGTGCCACCTCTTGGGTGGCTTAATCTTAATCAATCAATCGATATTTTAATGTTCAAATGGTACAGGTCTTTCAAGAGTGTAAGATGTCACCCTGCGTGACATCTCCCGTCACGCAGGGTGCAGTCGCACCTCCACAGATCTCCAGTATCAGCTCTTGATACTGGTAATGGCTCAAAAGGGCCACCACTTACGGGCTATTCATGCCTGTGCCATCTTTTGGGTAGCTTAATCTTTATCAATCAATCAATCAATCAAGAGTGTAATGCACTTCCAAAGTAACAATGAACACCACCATGGGAGGAATGTATTGTAGATGAAAACGTTATTTCCTCTATTGTATTTCCATGACGAGTTTTCACATATTTAAATTTACCGCTGTGTGAGTATTGACTAAGGATCAATACTCCCCTGAACACACACTCCCAACACGCAGGCGATGAGTCACAATAACGTGGCTGACGTATGTTGACCAGACCACACACACTAGAAGGTGAAGGGACGACGACGTTTCGGTCCGTCCTGGACCATTCTCAAGTCGATTGTGAGAATGGACTCATTCACAATCGACTTGAGAATGGTCCAGGACGGACCGAAACGTCGTCGTCCCTTCAACTTCTAGTGTGTGGTCTGGTCAACTTAACACGTGTATAGATGGGATAGGTATGGCGGCACCAGCGGCTGGACTTACACGTGACAAAGCCTAATACTGGCCAGCTGACATGTTATAGGGTTTAAGTAGGTTACCTTGAGGTGTTTTTCGGGGCTTAGCGTCCCCGCGGCCCGGTCGTCGACCAGGCCTCCTCAATGAGGTAATAAAATACATCTCAAAATGATAGAGTAGCTTAGGCTGACCAGACCACACACTAGAAGGTAAAGGGACGACGACGTTTCGGTCCGTCCTGGACCATTCTCAAGTCGATTGACTTAGGCTATTTCTTCCCTCGTCAATTTAAGCTCCCTCAAGGGGCTCAGAAATCCTTACAGTACACAAATATTAATCTTATTTAACACTTCACATTCCAGTAGTGACTGTATACTATGAATTGAAATTGAAATAAGTTTATTGAGGTAAAATACACACAAAGGGATGAGGTAGCTCAAGCTATTCTCACCCCGTTCAGTACATCGTGTTAATACATACATAGACACACATCACAAACAATAAACATATTGCCAAACATTCTGAGAGATAAACATCTACATTTCCTCGTATACTTTGAGATCTTATTGATTATGCTGCACCCGTCATTACTTGTTTTAATAAAAATAGATTGAACAAGTTGGAGAAGGTACAAAATGAAGCCATGAGAATAATCTTGGGACACCCAAGAAATGCTATGATTGAGGTAATGGCGACAGGATTGAACTTACAGAGTATTGGGGGTAGAATTTCAGAGATAAATATAGCGTGGGCGATTAGATTAATAAGACGCTAATGAATTAATCCTCCCACTTCAAAAGATGGGAAAAATGAACAAGTCTTCAATGTTGAGGTGGTTGATGGGGGGAGGGGGGGGCTGGTGTGATCCTACGCGCTAAGGGATCAAGATTAAGCCACTTAAGAGGTGGCACGGGCATGAATAGCCCGTAATCTGAACCCTGGAGACCGCTGCCTGAAACAGTACATCGCATTTTGACCTATAAATCCCCTAACGCCAAAGACTAATGTACTAAAAATCTGACAGAGGCTCGCAAAATTAACGTGATGGTCCGTTTTCTTTTTATGGGGTAAAGGGGGTCCTCTTTTAGGTTAGCTTCAGTTTAGTACATCAGTTCATAGCCGTTGGGGGACACGCCAGAGGACGGCCTGGATGGTGTTAGGTGCTCAGGTAATGGTGTTTTGTTATGGTGTTCTCCATGTGTTGTGTAGTGCCAGGCTGTGGTGGTATGGTGAGGTGTAGTGTCATGATGTGGTGATATGGTGAGGTGTAGTGCCTTGCTGTGGTGATATGGTGAGGTGTAGTGCCATTCTGTAGTAGTATGGTGAGGTGTAGTGCCATTCTGTGGTGGTATGGTGAGGTGTAGTGCCATGCTGTGGTGGTATGGTGAGGTGTAGTGTCATGATGTGATGGTATGGTGAGGTATAGTGTCATGCTGGGGTGGTATGGTGAGGTATAGTGTCATGCTGGGGTGGTATGGTGAGGTGTAGTGTCATGCTGTGGTGGTATGGTGAGGTATAGTGTCATGATGTGGTATGTTGAGGTGTGGTGTCATGCTGTGGTGGTATGGTGAGGTGTGGTGTCATGCTGTGGTGGTATGGTGAGGTGTAGTGCCTTGCTGTGGTGGTATGGTGAGGTATAGTGCCATGCTGTGGTGGTATGGTGAGGTATAGTGTCATGATGTGGTGGTATGGTGAGGTGTAGTGCCAGGCTGTGGTGGTATGGTGAAGTATAGTGTCATGCTGTGGTGGTATGGTGAGGTGTAGTGTCATGCTGTGGTGGTATGGTGAGGTATAGTGTCATGATGTGGTGGTATGGTGAGGTGTGGTGTCATGCTGTGGTGGTATGATGAGGTGTGGTGTCATGCTGTGGTGGTATGGTGAGGTATAGTGTCATGATGTGGTGGTATGGTGAGGTGTGGTGGTATGGTGAGGTGTGGTGTCATGCTGTGGTGGTATGGTGAGGTATAGTGTCATGCTGGGGTGGTATGGTGAGGTATAGTGTCATGCTGTGGTGGTATGGTGAGGTGTAGTGCCAGGCTGTGGTAGTATGGTGAAGTATAGTGTCATGCTGTGGTGGTATGGTGAGGTGTAGTGTCATGATGTGGTGGTATGGTGAGGTATAGTGCCATCCTGTGGTGGTATGGTGAGGTATAGTGTCATCCTGTGATGGTATGGTGAGGTGTAGTGCCATCCTGTGGTGATATGGTGAAGTGTAGTGTCATGCTGTGGTGGTATGGTGAGATATAATGCCAGGTTATGGTTGTATTGTGAGGCATTGTGCAAGCTATAATGGTATGGTGAGGTTTAATGCCAAGCTGTGGTAATTTGGTAAGATATAGTTCCAGGCTATGGTAGTATAGTGAGGTAGAGTATGGTGAGATTGTGGTATAGTGAAGATGGAACAAAAACACACATACAAACACACAAGTTACATCAGTTGATTGACAGTTGAGAGGCGGGACCAAAGAGCCAGAGCTCAACCCCCGCAAGCACAATTAGGTTAGTAATTAGGTGAGTACAAGGGGGTCTCATGGGCGAGTGGACAATGCCTGGGGGTCATAGTCCTGATGGTTCGATTCCAAGCGGAGGCGGAAACAAATGGGCAGAGTCTCTTTCACCTTGATGCTCCTGTTCACCTAGCAGTAAATAGGTACCTGGGAGTTAGACAACTACTATGGGCTGCTTCCTGGGGATGTGTGTGTGTGTATGTGATAGAGAGAATTATATGTAGTAGATAAAATAGAGGAAAAAGAGATTGGTTAGAAAGACTGGGTCCAAGAGCTAATAGCTCGATTCTGCAGTTACAAATAGTAAATACAAATTGTAAATACACATACTCACTCACTCACTCTAAATGAAAAATATCATTTAGAACAGAAACTTCATCCTACCTTGTACTGTAGTTCATTTTTTGTTTGATACCTGTACATCTTTAAACATATAGTTCTTGAAAATTTACGTAATCCAGTCTCTGGCTATCTGGCTTTTATATATATGCCTATCTGGTCCAGATATGGTACAGTTTTGCCTGAAAATTATCTGGATGCAATTTTGGCCAGATAACCCACATATTTGGCTCAGCAGACTTCGAATAACCGTGTTCATACAGTATTGTACACTATAATACAATCTGATAGTTGAACGTGACTAGATATTTGGTGTTTTGCTTGCACTGTAAACAGCAACTACTGTACTGTAGACATGCTATTAATGATGGCATCATAAACAGAACTGGTTCCTATGGTTTCATTCTTACAATGTAATTTAGAAAAGTTGAATTTTGTTGATTGTCATATTCAGATATTATGGTATTTACCATTATAGCATGTCTTTGTATATTCCTGTTATATCTGCTCCTTGTTGAAAATAATTAAATGCTATACTAGTACCAAAATTACCTTGTATGACTTATAACAAACATCTGAAATTTGATATTGACAGGTGGAAGCTACTCGACTCAACACGGCATCCCTCACAACTGACCTGGATGCTATGCGGCATCTGTTCAGCGAAAAGGAAAAAGAGTTGGTAGTAGCAGTGTCCAAGGTTGAGGAGCTCACTCGCCAGCTGGAGGAACTTCGACATGGTCGCTCACCGCTGAACCCCAACAACCAGCACCACAACGAGCTGGACAAGCTTCGACGAGAATTATTGGTAAGATAGAGTATGTAAATATATGTATGCATGTGTGTGTGTGTGTAATTAATACACACATGTGTGTATGTGTTTAAGTGTAATTACAGGATGAGAGCTACACTCATGGTATCCCGTCTTCCCAGTACTCTGTCATATAACGCTTTGAAACTACTGATGGTTTTGGCCTCCACCATCTTCTCACTTAATTTTTTCCAACCGCGTACCACTCTGTTTGCAAAAGAAAACTTTCCAATATTTTTGTGGCATCTTTGGTTCGTTAGCTTCCTTTTTGGCACCTTAGTGAGTGTGTGTGTTTTAATTATACTGTAATAGTAAAATTAGATTATTGCTTTTGTAACAGTAAAAGCACAGCAGTAAAACATTACTGCTATGGTGGGATATATATTGACCAAAATCTACCCATTATTACTAATTTTGGGTTTAGTTTGATAAATTTTAATCTTCAATTTTGACCTGCCATTTTAGGAAATATATTTCCTTTCATTATGTATTTCTGTATTTAGATGTAGGATAATTTGGGGAGGGCTGGACATACTAACAAAGTCAAACTCAATGGGGCCTAACGTCTGAGATGACTTTGCTCAGGATTTGTAGTCCTAAGATTCCGAGTTCGATCCCCGGTGGAGGCGGAAACAAATGGGCAGAGTTTCTTTCACTGATGCATCTGTTCACTTAGCAGTAAATAGGTACCTGGGAGTTAGACAGCTGCTACGGGCTGCTTCCTGGGGATGTGTAACAAAAAGGAGGCCTAGTTGAGGGCCAGGCCACAGAGACACTAAGCCTCGAAATCATCTCAAGATAACCTGAAGATAACATTCAGGCTAGACAAAATCAAATATTTAGTTAGATTTTGTTGGGATATCATAATGAATTAGAGAGCTATACAAGTACAGTACTGTATTTTAAATGATTCTTTGCGGCAGGGGATCGTATTCCAGGGACCTGCCCGAAACGCTACGCGTACTAGTGGCTGTACAAGAATGTAACAACTCTTGTACAGTATATATCTCAAAAAAAAAAAAAAAAAAAAAAAATATTTGAATTAGCATAACCATAAAGAGAAAAGCTGTGAAGCATGTTTGAATACGATACTCTGAATATTTGTGTTAAAGAATTAGCAGTACTAATTCAGCTTTTTATTTTCCATAACACTAAGACGCATGTCTTTTGAATAAATGTTTTAAAATATTTTATATAAATTTATTCAACACTGTACATTATCAGTTACTTATGCCATCCATAAAACTTTGTCTTTATTTAACAGTATCGTAACAGTGTGAACAGAGAAGCGTCGGCACGTGTTGCAGCTCAACGGGAAACATTGGCAGCAAGACGGGATGAAATTTCTCGCATCGACAAGCGGGTCTTGGAGTTGCAACAACGTCTGCAGCGAAAGAGGCTTCTTAATCATCAACTAGCATCACAGATAACAGCTGCTACTCAGGTACAATAATGTAATATTGTTATAACAATTTGTATTATCAAGAACAAAATGTCCAGTCATCATGCCGAGATAAAAGTAGCACTCATAAGTGATCTCTTTCTGTCATAGTGGAATGGGAAAGTTCACTTCTGGCTGGAGATTTATGAGGCAGTTGGATTGCTTCAAATCAATAAATATATTGTATAAGTACAGTACAGTAATTGCATAGTAATAACATTTTGGAAAAATGAATGCTAATGCTCTTCATTGTTATGGAGACTCATATCCCATTATAAAGTAATGGTTGCTTAATATAACTATGCTGATTGATTGATGAAGATTAAGCCACCCAAAAGGTGGCACTGGCATGAATAGCCCATAAGTGGTGGCCCTTTTGAGCCATTACCAGTATCAATAGATGATACTGGAGATCTGTGGAGGTGCGACTGCACCCTGTGTGACGGGAGATGTCTCCTGATAACTATGCTAGCCTGACAATATATATATATACTGGATACATAAATTAATATCTAGTAATAATATACAGGTACTGTATTAATAATTTAGGGGTATGTTTAGTCTTGTTTTATCAGTGAAGTCTATAGATGAATGTCGTTTATCTGCAACACTTGGTTGCAGGAGATGTCAAAGTAGAGTACTGTAGATGTTGCAGAAAGTCTGCAGTGATACAAACATACAAGCCAAAAATTGGAATATATTGTAATATAGCACGAAAATCTTGCACTAGGCACTATTAAGGCACTAGGAAGATATCACTTTAAGCTTATTGAAGTTGGCATTAAATGTCTAGTATGTAAAGGAAATTTTGCACTTTCCATACTATTGATAAGTTCAAACTCAGTGTACAAAGATAATTGTATTCTTATATTAATACTATTTTACAGTGAATTGTTTGGGTTTTGTAAAAGTTATTTCAGACTAAAAGTTGTTGAAATTTGGGTTCCTGTTCATCTGCAGCATGTTCATTTGCTGGGAGATACTTTCTTTAGTTGTGGTGGTAAAAGTCAAAATAAGGAAAACTGTAGTTTATGACAGATAATTTTTTGCTAATTTTCTTATTTAACTAATTTTCCTGAATGAGCTGAAAGTTGTATAGATTGAATTATCAATACATGTTCATATCCTCAGGCCAAACAGGCTCAGCTAAAAGCTGTGCAACAAAAGGCACTACGAGAAGGTGGCCAGACTGAAACGTGCGTTGATGGAGCGCACACGCCGGACCATCTCAAGGTACTCGATCTTTGTCTCCTGCTTTCATTCCATATTCTTTTTTGTAGTCGGTATCATTAACAAAAAAAAAACCTTACCTTGTGAAACATTAAATAAAAGTACTGTATTAAGGCTGATATATAAATAAGTAAACAATTATATACAATTTCATTGGCAATTTTGTCATAATTTATGCATCAAGTCTTTGAAGTCTGTATTTATAGATTCTTTAAAGCACAGCGTGGCATTCTATTGGAAAGAACATGCTGAATTTTCTTAAATTTATTCCTTAAGTTTTTCCTCTTTCCTAAGTCAAATTTGGCTAGGTCCATCAGGAAGCCTTGGTGCATATTGTGTTGTTTATGGTTGCAATGTGTACACTTTGCCTCCTATATCTGTGTGAGAACAGATATCTTCATGAGAACAGACAGGCTGTGGCATGTGAGAGGTCCTTTATGTCCTGCCTGCTAGGCTTTTCCAATTAGATAGTAATCAACTTTAATATAGGAGAGAGTCATTCCACCCACACATTGTTCAATTATAATTGGAATAGTAATCAACTTTAATATAGGAGAGAGTCATTCCACCCACACATTGTTCAATTATAAATAAATAAATAAATGTTTATTCAGGTAAGGTACATACATACAAGAGATTTTACAAAAATTTATAGATTTATAGATAGAGCTAGTACATACAATGCCTAAAGCCACTATTACGCAAAGCGTTTCGGGCAATTCCTCACTAGTTTCAGCACTTGAGCTTAGGTCTTAATCATAACATAATACTTTTACTACTACAAACCTTAACATACTTTCTATCAAAGTGCAGGTTTTGCTATTGCTCGTGTGCCTCATCTTTTATGGTTTTCTTCTAAAATGACTTCCACTCTTGAAAACACACAACATATTCTGCACTGTGCAATCTATCTTCCAAAAATAAAGTATATCATTTTGGACCCGATCCAGATTTCTGAATATTAAAATTTGTTTGGCTGCCTGTTTATATTACAAAATGTTATGAGATTTTTCTTGCAGCAAATGATATAATACAATATTATGCATACAATATTTAAATAAACAAACTGCATATAAACAATGAGTTCTCACTGTGATTACAATCCTCGTCACGGCCCTTGTGGATTTGTTAATTACAATTATGTTCAAAGCTATAACTTGACTTAATAATAATCATTAGTTTTATAGCTAACAGCAGTACTGTGCTGCACTTGGACCAACTGAGCTGTGGTGGATATGTGGGCCTGTGGGCTGCTCCAAGCAACAGCCTGTTGGATCAAGCTCTCACATGTCAAGCCTGGTCCCGGGCCGGGCTTGGGGAGTAGTAGTCCCAGAACCCCATCCATGTACAATACAGGAACGTCATGTTTGTCTGCCAGCATTCTTACTTCCCATCTGTGATTACAGTACTTTTCTATATGTTTACCTGATATGGTCTTTTTGTATATGTTATGGCACTTCCTGCTAACTGGTGTAGCCATTATCCTCTTACTCAGACATCTTTTCTAAGCAGCATATCAGGTAAATATAGAAAAATGCATACACACCCATTAGGAAACACTGCTGCTACAGAGGAAACAATTACATGGTATGGGGTGTGTTCCCCTCGGAAAATATAATTTGCACACCAACACTCTGGTAAATATTTATAATACATTGTAAATTCTGAAAGATGGTTCTAAAAAGTATTTTACTAATAAAAGCAAAAATAGTGCAACAAATACGATCTGTTGGAAATGACAATATTTATTTAATTTGGAATTTATCCACATTTCATTGAATGTTCATATAAATCTGAATATGAATCTGACATCTGCTGGGATAAGACTATTGGAAAACTTGTCTCTTATTTAGATGTATTTATTAAAAAGAGGTTCTTATGTTTTTTGGAGGTTACACAATATGCAAAGTTACATTAAGATTGGTCTACATTAGTCTTAGTTTTTTACACATTGCAGTAGATGATTCTTTTGTTTTACACAAACAAGTTAAATAAAATATAAATGCATTTATGAATATAATGCATAGCTGCATATAATCAGTTTCTTTCCAAATTAAAAAAAATAATAATTAGCTGACCATTGTCACAAGTTGTCACACCATCCCAGAGCTGTACACTATTGGAAGCGCTCGACAAAATTTTTTAGGTTTATTTCAGCATAAATTAAATAAATATACTACCTACTTGTTCATGAGAGAAGAATGAGTGGTGTATGTTGGCATACACAAGATGCAAACGAGTAATGAAAAGACAACATGTAATACGACCGGGCGATAAATTCAATATTGGCTCAATTTGAATGATGCTGAAAAGATTAAGAATAGGTAACACACCACATCATTTGTGCTTCAGTTAAATAATGGCAAGTGATCCACAATAATCACCTATAAATTTTTCATGCACAGATTCCTCGAGGAGAGGACTTAGGAGAGTTTGGTCCCAATAAAAATGACCCTAAATACCAGACTCTGCCCTACAACACAAAATTTTCTGTTACCTTCAAGTCAAAGAATGGGCAGGGAGGAGATTCCGACTCTGCTCCATCAACTCCAACGAGTACTGTCGCACCTAGTGCCCTTCCCGAACCTCATGTGTCTTCTGGACAAAATGCTGCGGTTGCAAGCGGCACATCGGACACAAGCAGCGGTCCTCCTAACACGGTTGCAGCAAGTGGCCCACCTAGCTCCACGTCGGCTACCAGTGGTCCAGCCACAGTCACTACATCCAGTGGAGCAACTGTTGCAATGCCTAACACTGCACCTGTCAACGGTGCAGTAGTAACCAGGACTGTCCACAGTATTCCCACACATCCTCCATCCCGAGGACATGCCCATGCTCTGGCACTCAGCCAGTCACAGCTGTCACAAGTTTCTCAAATGAGTCAGCAGTCATCTGGTCCCCTCAAGCCAACTCCTAACCCTGCTATGACTCCCAGGTGAAATGTCTTTATCATTTAATATCTAATATTTTTTTCCATTAAGGATCTAATTTCAATGAAGCATACAATTTTATGATATACACTAATAATCTGCATTAAATGGTGGTAATTTGTAAATCTTATTTTAATTATAAATGTATAGAGAATACTTAGTGATAGTCGTTGCCTTGATAGGCCTACCACTGAATATATTAGGGATTCATCATTGATGTGATAATTAAATTTTGTATTTGCTTTTCTTCTAAACTTAGAACAATGTAATTTACTTTGACAGAGTGTATGGGCCAGGAGCGCAACAATTTAACCAGCGGACGCAGCCTTTGGGTGGTACAGCCATGGGACAAAACCAGGTACAGTAATCCAATTCCTATTTACTGTATCATTGTGTTGCTCTCTTTGTGTAGGTTTTTTTGTCTTCTGTTATTTCCTCTCTTTAGACAAAAGTGCATTTTGATCAGGTAGAAAACATATAATGACTTGTTAAACATGAAACAATAGCTATATACAGTATTGAAAATTTGGAAAAGTTGAGTAATACTGTGTTGTAGTTAGTTTATAGTGCACCCAATGTATTTCTTAATATTTCTAATTACTTCAGACTTTGAGCATTTTTTTAGATTTTCTTGATACATAACCTTGTATTTGTTCACATTATCTTGTACTTTAGAAGTAAAATGACTGAGTACCAAATTAACATTCAAACAAGAACATCAGTGAATTGCAAAATCTTATGCTTTCTTAGACTAACTGTTGCGTGTGTCCGACGTACAGGGTGCTTACAGTCTTCTCACTTGTGCGGACGTTGTGACTTAAAATGAGGTGTGGGATATTGAACTAAAAAGGGGGCTTTCAAGCTTGTTTAGAAAAAGGTGTTATATGGATTATCTCATGGCACAGGTTATAGCAAAGTTGCAGACCAGGCAGCACTTCAGAGGAGCTTTGTGACCCTTAACATACACTGAGCCAAGTAGCATATATTATTAACCAGTAGAACCTTGGATTAACTATTAGTTTTGATTCATTAGATTCCATCATATACTACACCGAGCTACTTTTTGGATGGTTTTGTATCCTTCCTCTGAAGGAATAATATTTAACATTTATTTGTTGTCAAAGTCAGCAGAATTTTAGTTGTACAAATTTCACCAGAATAAATGTTACTTCCAAACCAAGTCTTACCAGTCTCCCAGCAACTAACTCCTATATGCCCCCCTCCTATAATTCATTGATAACCACTTGGGCTGGACGGTAGAGTGATGGTCTCGCTTCATGCAGGTCGGCGTTCAATCCTTGCCCGTCCAAGTGGTTGGGCGCCATTCCTTTTCCCCGTCCCATCCCAAATCCTTATCCTAACCCGTTCCAAGTGCTATATAGTCCTAATGGCTTGGCGCTCTCTCCTGATAGTTCCCTTCCCTCCCCCTCCCCTGTCCTCGCACACATTAATTCCCCTCCCGCCTTGTACCAACATCTCCCTCCATTATATTGGTGACCTTCCCTAACCTTTCTACACCTGAAACTGGACAGTGCTCCACACCAGTGTGGGAGCTGTCTGAACAAAGGAGGGAATATCAGTTAAGGGTGCAATTCCAGCATGCTACTGCTGATGGGGTTGCCAAACAAATTAAACTCAGAGGATTGTAGACACAAATGTAAATATAATCAGAAAAAACAAATAAGTTTTTATTAGCCCTAAACTAATTATTTAATATAATATTGCAGATGCAAAAATTTTATACAGTACATTAATTTTATACATTATTGTAAATGCATTCACAAAATACATAACAGAACATTCATTATGTACATGCTGTATCAGCTGCAGATTACATACTGGTTCAACGGTATTAGATACTAATGTTAAATGCCGAGATTTGCTTTGTTTGATACTGACAGTCAATGCATGGTAGCTTGAATGGTGTTATGGTTAAGAGTTTTGACAGCCGTAATGGTTTTTAACCAATTAGTAGTGTAGCGGTAACTAACACCGTACCCCTTCTTGTTCCCAGGACTCACGCACCCTTCTACCCCCAACCTCCCTCTCTGTGTCCTTCACACAGGTGAGTCTCCTCACTAACCGGTCTCTTGCTCATGCTGACCAGTTGTTTGATTCACTGTTGACTTTCAGGTTCTATAATGCAGCTCATAATTGCATTTGTAGCTGTACGCATGCAAGTGCAAGGTCACAGTGTATAGCCAAGCTTATGGGCTGAAGGAAGTTGTATGATTAGTTACTTTCAGCAATGGAAGTTTAGACTTGTATACTGGAGTTTAAATAGGAGACTGTATGAAACTTTTTTTCTACAAAGCATTCATCAGTTAGCTGAAAGTAAACAAGGTGACAGCAGGGGTAAAATGATAGAAGAAACTGTTTTAAATTGGTTTAGTCAGCATCTATGACAAGACCCATACAGTTCAATCCACTCCAAGCCCTAGCAAGCCATATAGAAGCATGCCAAGGACCAGAGGCCAAAACCCAGCCCCTTCTAAAGACGCACAAAGTGCAGAGGATTGATGATTACCCTGACCAAGAAAAGATCGCCAGGAAAGTGGTCAAGGGGGAAGGGAACTAATCGGGAGAAAGCGCCAAGCCATTACGGTTATATAGCACTTGGAAGGGGTCAGGATAAAGATTTGGGATGGGACTGAGGAAAAGGAATGGTGCCCAGCCACTTGGACGGTCGGGGATTGAACACCGACCTGCATGAAGCGAGACCATCACTCTACCGTCCAGCCCAAGTGGTAGGAGGAAAATGGTCAAACCCAGACATAAAGTAAGGTAAATAAATGGACCTCACAGTAAGAGAGAGATTTCATTACATTCAATGCTATTTTGTTTTTAATTTATTAGTAGATGCATTGCTAGATTTCATTAGCATATATGACCAGGTTATATATACAGTACTGTATATATATTATGATGCTCAAGATTTCATTAAAACATTTAGTCTGAAATAAAAATACAGTACAGTACTGTAACACTATCTGTGGAGAGTCTATATAGTTTTGTTTATCGTTCAGAAAAAAAATAAGTGTGTGGATTAACAGATTCAAGTCACTCCATGGAACAGTAATATAAAAGCTCTTATGAAGTGGTTCAGATTTTGCATTGTGCCAAGTTACATTACATTGGTCTGCTTCATTAGTGTTTCTCACACATTGAAATGAGCGATTATTTAAAAAAATAACGTCAAAATAATTCATGAAAATTACCTAATTTACATAATCCAGTAAAATAATAACTTATTGGGAGAAAGGTTTATGGCAGAAAGTGAAGAATAAACCCCTCATAATGAGCTCATCTTGAGCTGATTTCGGGGCTTAGTGTCCCTGCGGCCCGGTCCTCGACCAGACCTCCCCCCCCAGGAAGCCGCCCGTGACAGCTGACTAACTCTATCCAGCTGTCAATATATAGGTAAATAGGTTACCTAGCAGTACCTATTTACTGCTATGTAACAGGGGCAGGGTGAAAGAAACTCTGCCCATTGTTTCTCGCCGGCGCCCGGGACCACAGGATCACGCATCCAGTGTTCTGTCCGCTCAGCTACCGGCTTCCAAGAATGGGACTTGCAAGCTCGGTTAGTGAATATCAGAGCTCCAGGCGTCTTCAGTCTTCTGTCAGCAAGTCTAAGGAAATATTAGAACAGTAATCGAGGTCTTTGAGGGGAAACTAGACTGCTAACCAGGGTGTATTTGAATGTAAATTATTCAAATAATTGGTACTAGTAAGAAGGTCCATACGAGTTACAAATACTGTATAACATCTATGATTCCGTAAGTTTGTTGCATTTTAATGGGTTAGTGTGTGATGTGTAGAATTTAGTGTGTTTTATAAACCCACAGCTGGTTTTAACCTTTCACATGCAACTATAATTAAAACATCCAGGTGGATTTTTTTTTTTATTATAAAAAGTTGTTTAATTAATATATTAAATAAAATTGTTCTTGCTTTAGTGTTGGAAAAAACCCTTTATAATTCAATTGTTTTTTGCTGACTGCCATTTAGAAAAGTTTAATGTTGCATTTACACTTCGGGTCATACACTCCTTTGAGTAAAATATATTATTGTGTATCTTGAAGTTTATGGATTAATGGGCAATTCGGTCATTAGTGAAGATTATGATAAATTAATGCACATACTCATCTTTGCTCACCTTGTAAGTCACACAATTATTATAACAGTATAGAAGATTTTATTATTGTTGGTTTACCATCTTTTGTATTGATTAACATTAGTTACTAAACTGTTTCTGAGTAGTGTTGAGTGTGTGAACTGGGCATTGAATGTACTTTGGTGTGCACATAACTATGGTAATAACATTTAGTCTATCACCTTAGAGAGAAATTTTTTTAAGTTTTGGAGTGGAACCATATAGTGTTACTGGTGCTTCTATTTTGACTTTGTGCATTTGTTTTAGAAACTGAGTCCGGGTGTGACTACACATGCGCAGAGCAGGACACTTCTCCTTCCTTCGCATCATTCGCAGGTTTGTGGTACACTGCCATTGTGAATGTCTCTTAACTCAATGTGTCCTCTTACCTAATACATCGGATTATTTACAGAATCAACTAATCCAGTAACAATTTTATGTATTAACACTTTCGCTGCCCCCGGAGGGTGACCCGCCGCCTACCTCAAGGTAGGCCAAGCGTTATGCACTAACTCGCCTCCACGCAAAAGTGTTTATACACTTTTTCAGTTTTCTGGCCTCAATTTTCGTGCTACGTTGTTCAATTTGGTATCAAATGGTTCGCAATATAATGCTGTAAAGGGATATTTGCATATAAGAACATATAAGTCTCACTTTTCTATACTTTTAACGAAAACTCTAACTTTTCCCTCATATGTGTTTCTTTCAATTCTTTCATCATGAATTGGCTCTGTTCTTGGTCAGTATCCCTCTGGAAGTCAATTTGCAATGTTTATAAAGCTGGTAACAACAAACACCTGAGGTAACATAACCAGAATGGGGAAACTTTTCAATGTGAGTGGAGGCCGCGGCTGTCACGAGTGCATTGAGCCTCCAGCATGGGTGGGCACCCACACAGCGGGGTCAGGATGCCACGTTACATATACACAGAATGGGCAGAAGTTGGAGCACATTTTAAAATAAGTCCTACAGTATTCGGACAATAAATAAAATTTCTTCACATTTTTAAATTGACGCTTATTTGCCTCATCGGGTATACTCTGTTTTGGTTTTATACCACAATGTGGCATCGGGCAGCGGAAGTGTTAATAAGCATTTAAGCATCGTAATATTAATGTTTTCTATGCATTGGTCTTTTCCTTAAACCGTTTGAGCCACTCGAGTCATCACGTAAGCCACAATGTGTACTAGTAAAACGGTCAAAAGTAATTACAAAAAAAGGCACCAAGAGTAATACAACAATTTTGGCCCTGTAAGCTGTTTTTATATTATTTCTCTAGATAACATTGTTGAAGTACTCCTTGAAAATTGTATTAATTTTTCCTGAGAAATTGGTAACTCATTTGTTATACTGTCATAGTCATGTGAATGCTAGCCACAGCTAGGTTCCCTTATCCATATACAGTATAAATAAAACTAAATAAAAATTATGTTCTGCATGCATGAAGTTCTGAGAATGTTTTTCATGCATGAAGCATGCATGAGAAACTAAGTTCTCCCCCATACTCTTCCCCCATTTATATAGTATATACCGGGGTAAATATAAATATGCTGTAGTCCCGTACTATATATAACTTTCCCGAAACGCTATGCATGTTAGTGGCTTTGCAAGAAGAAAGAACATCAATGTTATGTAATCCCACAAACCCAATGTACCTTCTTGTATATATGAAATACTAAAACTATTTCACCACAGCTCGGAAATATTTCTCTCGGCAGGATGTAGGACACTAAGTGGTGTAGACTAAGGGCTGTGAGAAGCACTTCCTTTTTCCCTTTGGAGAGTGCTGTGGTAATCTGAATCTGTGCAAGGGGGTCCTTAGTTCTTCTCTCTGCGTAAGATCCCTCCTTTTGTCAATGCAAGTGGTCAACTTTAACCCTTTCATGCTAACCCCTAGTCTCAATATTGTCAGGAAGATCACTGAACTTTGGCCAAAGATTTCTAAACCTGAAATGTCTTTATGGGATTTGCTTAAATTTTGTCCCCCTCTAACCTTCAAGACTTTTGTTGATCTCTGGTAACTGTTTTGTACTTCTCTCAATATGTTGTGCAAGGGGCAAGTTTGTATGACTCAATTTTTTCAGGTGCATTTCCATCACACTCCCCAGGCTAAAATGATTCCATAAAAACGAGCATGAGCCCTTGATTAGTCATGGGTCAAGATTCATATCTCTTGCAGCTGTCTTTGGTTTGTTGTTTGTTGTTTTAGATTCAGCTACTGGGAACAAAAAGTTCCAGGTAGCACAGGCTATGGTGAGCCTGTAGTGGACTTACCTGGCACAGGAACGGGGCTGTAACTTGATGCGTTTCTTTGGCTTAAGTTCTAACTCCTGATTCTAAACTAGTTTCTCTCAATTGGTAGTTAAATATTTGCATTTCAGTTCATCTGGAGTTCAGGGACTTCTTAGGGCTTTGTGTTGAGAAGAGTTAGCACTTGTCGCTCCTCCCTTTGGGTTGAACCTGGCTGAGGCTTTGTGAACATAGATTTTGCATACATCTACAACTGGTTTATATGGGCACCCAATCCCTGCATGGATATATATGCGCATGTTCAACATTTCACAAGTGGACCTCATGTCTGCATTGACCTCACTCCTGATTGTATATTGTCAGGACCTTTCAAACACCACTCTGCATCATAGGCAACTTTTTTACTTTTTTGAAGTCTCTCTTGTTTGTGTATTGAAGACGTTTACCAAGCAATAGGCTGTAACAAATCGAAAATAGGGCTCAAACCAATATGAAAAACAAATATCTGAACAGTATCATTTGGGTGTTCTTGGCATTTCTCAGTCTTCCATCTGTACAGAGTTGGTGTTTACATTCGGGAGTGTGTGAAGTGACTGGGGAACCCTGGGGCATGCATTGTGCTGCCATATGGTGAGGGGTTAATGCCATTGGCCAGGTAAATAACCCAGTAGTTAGTGAACTCTCCTTTGATGGTCACTTGTGATAATATCAAACTAGGGTTCAAAATTCTTTATTAATGTATCCCCCAGTGGTCATTCTGGGTTGGATTAATTTTTTCTCCGGAGCCTTCCTAACATCTTCTCCAGATGTTAGGAGATCCAGATCCATTTTCTCCAGATCCTGAAAAGAAGATTGAAAACTTTCCGGAGTTCCCAGTGTCATTCTGCTGGATTGTACATCAATCTGGTTTATAGGCCCAAGTGTTTGCTTACCTGAAGGAGAAATTAAATGATTCTACTCAAAAAGGTTTATTGAAACTGTGTTGTTGTGTTCATAAATCTTAACATTTGACTTTATATACATTATTTAATAGTTACAGTATAATAAAATTCTTGTATTTTTAGTAAATACAATGCAGTCCAATTTGACTTTGGGTCTCAAAGAGGATCCTTGATTAAAATTGGGATTTAGTGATATTGTTTCAATAAATACTGTACAGCATTAGTTCTCTGAAACTCTTGCACATCGTAACAGAATTAAACTAAATGAGTTTGAGTAGTTATAAATTTATTTTGAACTTGGGTATAATTAATATAAAATTGCATTTTTATCCTATCACATAAAAATATTTAAGGTGTCATAATTGTCATTTCGTGATTCTCTACAAATATACTTGACTTTATAGGATGTGGAGAATCTACGAGCGATAGGAAGTAATGCTGGTACTGATGGAGGTGAAGATGGCACCTCGGGTATCGAGACCAGCCGCAGCAAACCTGCCTTGCCTCCCAAACCAGCCGTACCCTCTAAACCTCTTCCTCCCCCACGCCAGAAAGGAGACCCACTCGCTGCTAGTAATGAGTCACTTAATGCTTCTCAGTCTACAGGCAGGGCAAATGGTCAGGGACGACCGCCACAAGGATATAGGTGAAGATACATCGCTTTATTCATAATCTATCTTGGTGTTATACAACTAAACAGAAAAAAAATTACCACCAGTTGGTGTTAAAATAATGATTTGTAAGTGCAGTTCTCAGCATCTTGTACACTTTAAATTAGTTGTCTATATAAAAATTTGTGTTCACATTCATCTATATTGATGCATTGCTATTTTTCAGGTATGCAAGTCAGAATGTGATAATGTCAACATATACTCAGCAAAACACTGGTCCAGAAAGCCAACAGGGTGATGGCAGTGAAGATAGCTCTCGACCCAAAATGGTGAATAATACTCTTAATAATAGCACCAGCAGCAATAGTATTGGCATAAAGGCAGATTCCGAGACTGGAGAGAAAATCCATGTTTCAATTAATCGAAGAATTGAAATGCCACCAGATTTTATGTTCCCTGAAGACGAAACTCCACCATCAGATCTTCTTGGTCGGTGTGTAGATGAAATAGAAAATGAAAATTTAGAGTCCCAAGTTAGTTCAAATAAAGAAAATGGAACAGATTCAGCTGATAATCTGACCGTGACACCCATAGTACCGATTAGTGAATTTGAAAAATTGAGAATTGATAATATAAAAGAAGACAGAAATAGCCAAGAAGATTCTACCACTATTATTGCTCACATACCTAGTGACGAGTCTCGACAACCAGATGGTGCAGACACAACTTCTACGCTAAGTGAAGAAGGTCGAACAGGTAAGACTTATCATTATCATTTATTGTTTGCTATTTTATGGAAGATGAAGTGGATACTGTTTAAGGTTAAGGCCTTTTGGTGCCAAGTTTCAAATGTGACTGTGTGTATTGAGATACAGTATACCAAAGTATTGTAATGTGCCAGTATACTGTAGATTCTTTTTATTAGTAGTAGTGGCATGAGGTGACAAAAGAAAACATTATTGATGCACCAAATTTGTTAATTCTTCACAAGATTAATTAATGATAAAATTGCATAGTAAGACCATAATCTAAATATCTTTACATTGAGCATATCTAAACTTTATTTTTTTATCCATACATTCTACTTGCATTATATTATTGATATATTTCCATGACAACTCTTATACAAGTCACTCCTTAACCTATGATATGAACCTGTGTTGGGTGCTGGAAAATGAATACAGTAGTTGTGTAGGATTGGGAGTGATTGTTCTCAGAGTTAAGTGCTTTACTTTATAGAAATAAATGTATGATTCTTGTTTTATTATGGCAGTCTTTCAAAAGTATACATCAATTTTAATCAAACTTTCTTTCAACAGAAGGTGAAGTCGAGAAGGGTAACGATACAGCAATTACGACCACGGTATCCAATTCCATCAACAATAATAATGTTAATAATAATAATAACAACAATAATAATCATAATAATAACTCAAGTGGCGGCGTTGTAGTCAGACGTATAAAAAAGGGTAACCTCAAGACAAAGAACTCGTCAAGAGTACCTCGTAGAGTAAGCTTTGATCCTCTGGCACTTCTCCTGGATGCATCTCTCGAAGGAGAACTTGAACTTGTGCGCCGTACTGCCATGGAAGTGACTAATCCTTCTGCAGCCAATGATGAAGGGATCACAGCACTTCATAATGCTATATGTGCTGGTCACCTTGACATTGTTACGTTTTTGGTAACATTTGGATGTGATGTTAATGCTCAAGACTCTGATGGATGGTAAGGATATTTTCCACCAGTACAGTACCAATGTATTTTTTAAATTTTATTTAAACTGTTTGGAAAAAAATAGTTTAAGTTAGGTTTATATTTGACAGAGCTCATATATTTTTCTTTAATCATTTTTAGCAGCTGGAAAAAATAGACAAAAATTTAGAAAGACGGGGTTAAGGATTCTCTTATGGCACAATGGGCAGTGCAGAGGATAAAGGCAAAAGTGGAAGTCTTCAAGTAAAAATAGGAGTTTTCTGCAAGAAGTGCTGAACCAACTGGCCTACAGTAGATATGTGAGCCTGCAGCCACTCCAAGCTGCAGGTTCACATAGGGCCTGTTGGAGCAAGTGCTCAAAAGTTAAGCCTGGCTTGGGGGAGTAAAATAACTCCCAGGAAGCTCATCTAGGTACAAGGTGCTCAACAGATGATGCACGTATCACCTTAAGGCACTTTTAGGTATAGGGAATGATAGTACCTGTGTACTCTCTTCTCGCAGGTACACAGGGCTCATATCCTCTGCCTTAGAACTCCAGTAAATGGGTGCCATTTAAAAAAAATAAAATGTCTACATCCCTTCTGGCTATGAGAGCCTCAGTATTGTGAGTGCTGCTAAGGCTGTGCATGCAGCAGGAGCTCACAGGCACTCCTGTGCAGCTAGGGACCACAGGACCACTTAATTGCAGTTTCTTATTTTATTAATTTTTGTTTTGCGATGCTAGTGTCATAATTATCCTGATTGTGATAGACTATGTACAATGTTTGATTATAAAATGTCATAAATTAGTCAAATAATACGGTTAAAAAACGAGAGAACCCTATTCAGAGACATTGAAGTAAGTAATTAATATTACAATATATTCACAGCAACTGATGCCCTAAGGGTTGCCGAGGCAAGTGTTGTCGAGTGCCTCCTCACTCTGTGCCCATAAATTGCTCAATTTCCCTGCCCCATCATGGCCAAAGTATGGCACATCCAATATATTTTTTAGTTTACCATATCTGGGAATGCATTTTAACAATACTGCTGTAGTAAAAATTAATTGTTGAATAATTTTTGTTGGGTGCACTGGCAACATGTCAAATTTAATTACAGTGCAGTGGTTAATACAATTTTTATTAAGTGTTTTGCAAAATTATTTGGAGCCAAATATTTAGGCCATAATGAAAATATTGAAGGTCAATTGAAGATAGTTGTGCTTAGGCTTAGCACTTTGATAATTATGTCTAAGAGTAAAAAATGCTATGAAATTTTTTCCACTTGAAAATAATCAGTCAAAGATTTACTGTATATGTATTAAAATATATACTAATGCACATATGCCCATAAACATTCTTGTTTTTCAATAAATATATGCAGTGTTAATGTCCAGAAATTATGACAATTTGTAACAACATTGTTGATGTGCCTTTCTGGATTCTGAGTGTTTGTATATACAGTACTAGGATACCTAACAGAGTTGGTCGTCTAATGCAATGACCCTCTTATTGTCATATCGGCTAGATGAAGGTTTCTTGTACTATTTTGCGTTGTTCAATTTGCTTATAATGAAGAATAGTTTCCTCACATCTCTGGTTCATCTGCAATTTTCTTATGTGCATATTCACTCATTATGTTACTACCCAACTTAACTGCTGCTAAGTCACCTTGGTCTATCTTGGTAGTTCAGTCCCCTCAGTTTCACAATGTGTACACTTAACTAATTCACCACACTACACTACATTAAAGCCACTAAACTAAAGTCACTATAGCCTAAAGGAAACTAAAGCCCCAAAATCATCAAGATAACCTCTCAAGATAACCAGTGTACACTTGAATATATCTGTACTGAAAATATAACTCTTAATAATGTAGCGTGTGTGTATAACAAATAGTAGTGTGACGTGTAAATAGCATTAACATTTTGACATTTGAAACATGACAATACATACTATTTCTATAAAATTCCAGGACCCCCCTGCATTGTGCTGCATCCTGTAACAATGTGGCCATGGTGAGATTCCTAGTGGAGCATGGGGCTTGTATCTTGGCCACTACCTTATCTGACCATGAGACTGCCGCTGAGAAGTGTGAGCAGGATGAGGAGGGGTACGATGGATGTTCGCAGTACCTTTATAGTAAGTTCTTTGTTGAAAATTCCTTTTAATACACGTTTTTCAAAATTGTATAATAATGGCAGCCTTCTTATGAAAATATCTAGGCACTGCTACACCTTTATGGCTTGCAAGTATTTTCCACTACCTCTCTATTTGTATGTAATAATTATCTTCAATAGGGTTATATTATGATTTTTATCATTTATTACAATACTCGGTAAAGTAAGTATTTACAATTTTCTGTGTTGCCTTAAAATTGCTATTTGGACTGAAACTTGGTAAATACACAAAATTGTAAAGTGTAACCCCCCTTGGTAATCATTTTTAGACTTGGTTTAAATGCTAATTATTAGGAAAGGGAGGATGTAACAATGAACTATGTTGAGCACAGCTACACCAAACTTACTTTATATATCCTGAGGCCAGGGAGACTGAGACCAAGGGAAGGTAGGCAACTGGTGCAATGAGACAATGCAGGTCAGAGAAAAGAAGAAACTAGGAATAGATGAAGCCAATGTGTTGCATGAGCAGTAGTGTCGACTCTGTACAGCTCGAAGATGGTAGCTTGAAAGGTTTAAAATGAGAATTAAGCATTAGGAGTGGAGAATCTGAGGTGTGGTGTCATTTGAATCCAGTAAGGAATTGTCGAGTGTAGAAAGCTCATAAAACTGAAAGATTGAGAAAGCAAGGTAGTTTGAGCACGTAAACACAATGGAGAATGGTAGACTGGTGATGTGTGAATTTGAGATAAGTGGAGAAGATAGGTGAACATGATGTGTTAGAGGAAGAAATGATCGAGTGTGAACAAGCAGCTGGGGGAAAATGGTTCATGATAAACAGATGCTGCTATTAATAACTTGCTAGTGTTGTGGTTCTTGGTGTTGGGCTTAAGGCAGAAGGGTTTAATAACTTTTTTTTTCCCTTCTGCAGTGTGAAAGTGTATATGTATAAATGTGTATATACATAAACATGAATGCATATGTGTAAGTATAAACACATGTATGCATATGTATAAACATGTGTTTACATATGTATAAACTCATGTATACATATTAAATACAAAAAAAAAGTATTAAAATACTGTTGGAAAATTATTAGTTAGAAACACCCCTTGTAGGAATACAGTAACTGTCACTTATAAAATACAGCCAAACATTAGAAATTTCGAATATCATAGCATAAATTTTCTGTAAAAAATTGACGATTATCTAATGCTCTATTCATCTGAAATTTCTTGCCAAATTAATTGGAAGAGTTCTTCGATAACTAATTGTAAAATCATTTTTAAGTAGAAACATTATTGAATCTGCTTTAATACAAGTAACAAAAAAAACACAGTATTAACATTAGTAATGGTTTGTACAATTTGGATTCATTTTTAATTGATTAAAAAAACGAAACCAGTACAATCGTTAATACTTGGCTATCTCATTAGTATTGCTTGCTGGAACTCTCATGTATTGACTGTATTGACTAAACTAAATCATGTATTGACTATATTGACTTGTATTGGGCCTGCTGTAGCAGTCATTGTTTTTCTCCCTGCCTACATTTTACCATGACTGACTTGTGATATCCATCCTTCTTAAGGCGTATTAATATGAAAGTACTTGAGGAACGTCCACACACACACACACACACACACACTTTCCTTCATGGTCATACATTGTCACATTCATGTTGATTTTTGTGTGATTTATATATTTTTTTAATATAAAAAAATTTTTAATTTTTTTTTTAAATAATTATAAAAAATATAATTTTTTAGTGTTCTTTACATTTTTGTAAAGTTACTAACACGTGTAGTGTTTTAGGCAGGTCCTTTATCCTAATTATTCCCGGAATACGGCCTGTCAAATAACAACCAGGTACCCATTCACTACTGGGTGAACAAAGGCTACAGTTTAGGATTGGTGCCCAGTCAATCCTCCCAGGCCAAAGTGCTCGCAAAGCACCATGCGAGTGCTTTATCACTGCGCCACGGGACTGCTATTAAGAGCAGTCAAGTTAACAAATGTCCTGGTAAAGAAACCTCCAATTATTGAAAGATTTATTTTCTACAACGTTTCATTCCTCTCTGGAACACCTTCAGGTAAAGAATGAATACGTATGTACAGTTTTTAGTTAAATACACATGAAAGAGGCGAAGTGGGTAGGGCCAATCAATGAGTAAAACTCAGGAGAGTGGGGAGACTTCATTACCCAGCGGTATTTGGCGAGATCTGGTACCAATGGTAAAGAAAATAATTATGTTATATATTTAAGGTGTTTTTTTTTCCTTGTGTGTCGTGTTATGTTCATTTTGCGTGATTTCTGGGGGCACCAGCTTGAAGGTGGCAAGTCAGTCAGTCTTCTCGAAAGCTTTGTGATCGTATACAATATAGGTAGATCAAGGGTGACGTTCTTCAATGGGGCTTACATGTCCCAAGATGGCATAGTATACTTATATACAAGTATACTTTGAGCATACTTAGTACAAAATTAGTATACTTCAAGAACATTTTGAGTATGCTTGAAGTATACCCCAAGTAAACTTGAATGTACAGCAGTATATACTTTGAGTATACTTAGAATATATAGAATATATTTCAAATATACTCCCAGAATACTCAAATTTAGTATACATCAAATTTAGCATATGCCAACTATACTTGAAAATACTTTAAAATATACTCAGTATATTTTAGTATACTATGAAGTATACTTGAAGACTACTTTGAGTATACTTTAAAGCATACCTTGAGTATACTTTGAAGTATACCTTGAGTGTACTTCAAAGTATACTCGTAGTGGGCTTCAAAGTTCTCAAACTAGGCTTCAACATATACTTTGAAGTTTATTCAGTATACTTTGAGTATACTACAATTACACTCACAGTATATGCCGAGTATACTCAGTTTACTTCAAGATACTCAAATTGTACTACAATATACATCCAGTATACATGAATAGTATATATACAATGTAGCATACTGTATTGTACGATGTAGTATACATGCAGAGTGTACATACATATAAATGTAGTGCACAGACAAATATATACTATGCATGTGTTTAAAATATATAAGACATGTGTATACTATACATACATATTGATACAAACATTTATGCATCTACATAGGTGTATGTATATATAATATACACATTAAATGTACACACATGTATAGAAAATAGTGTACAACTGTGAATTCAGTATCGTATATTTCACACATTATTGCACATGCACAAATATATATAACACAATATAAATGACAGTTTATATAAATGTGTGTAGTGTTCAGTGTTTACAGGAATTTTAAGCATGCATCATTGTGGTGGAATTTTGGTTGGAGGCCCAATACTAGACTTTCATTTGATTGCTTTAAGACGACTATGATACATGTTTATTTATTTATTTATTTATGCATATACAAGAAGGTACATTGGGAATGTGAGGATACATAATATGGTAATTACAGTCTTGTAAAGTCACTAGTACGCACAGCGTTTCGGGCAGAAATCGGGAATTTCGGGAATTGTTTAATGTCGTATACTTTCACGCAGGTGTTCAAGAAAAGCTTGGCATAATGAATGGTGGTGTTGTGTACGGTGTATATGATTATGAGAGTCAAGCCAGTGATGAGCTCAGTTTCCATTGTGGCGATGCCGTCACAATACTACGCCGCGGAGACGAGTACGAACGTGAATGGTGGTGGGGACAACTTCAAGACATCCAGGGATACATTCCTAGGAATTTACTTGGGGTAAGAATAGGAATATCTACATTTTCTTTACAATTATTATTTAAAAAAAAAAAAAAAACTTCTCTGCTTAGCTGCATTGAGAATAATTATATTTTTAGGAATTGATGGTACAATACAAAAATTTATCAAAACCTATTTTAAGATTTTGGGATGAAAATTTTTTTTTAATCTTTAAATGTACTATTATTGCACTTATCTGCCATGATTAAATTTGTTGTTTTAATTACAGCTCTATCCGCGTGTGAAGAACCCTCTCCGTGATTCCTGAGAATTTGGAGCAATTATTACACATCCTACTTGTGCTACAATGTCGTAACAGTGTACTAAGCAGCTGCCTGAAAATACTGAATTTGTGCTATACAATTGACAGACTATAAAACTTCAAAGACAGTTTTGATATGGACATTGAAGCTGTACACCTTGACAATATATGGTAGACTTTGATCACTTTTGGTGGTAGAAATGTGGTCTGAATTAAAATAAAATGGTTTTTCACATTTTATATTACAATAGACTGAAAAATTGTAGCATCCAACACTTGTACTACCAAAAATGCCTTAAAATATATAAATTATATACATGTGTATATATACTGTATATAGATGACAAGTAGACCAGTGCCTTAACAAGACAACCAGCAGTTGCTAAGTGGTCTCTGTGATGGAGACTGAACCACAGCCATAATAATTAACACCAAATACATATCTATATACACACACACATGTACAGTATATACATATATGTGTATATATTACATAAACACAAATGATGCATATTCTGTACGTTTTGACAGCTATTATTGTCAAAGAAATTTAACCTTTAGTGAAGAAAAAGGGTTCATTTACTAAAGGAATGCAAAGTTGGATAAGACTCGTACCAAACCATAAAAGCCAATGTTAAAAACCAAATTAATTGCCATCATCCTCATACCAGCATTAGTGTTACCGAGAAAAATTTGCAGTGATCAGGAAGTTGATACGAATGCCCTTTTTTTCAATGGATAAGGAGCCTTGAAACAAAGCTATTTTTCTAGCATGACGACAAACACAATATTGTTAATATTTTACTATTAATTGTACTGATATACACAATTGAAATAAAAAGTTGCCATACAAAAATATTTTTTCTCCTATTTATAAATGTACTTAAGAACTGATTTAGCTTAAAAAAAATCAAATTTATTCATAACCGAGTAATTATCAAAAGAAGGTGCCAAGACTAAGAGAGAGAGACTGTCACAGAACAGTCAATACATCCTAAATATCATTGACAATGACAATACGAGAGTAAAAATACGTACAAGTAACATCAAAAGTATAACATTCATGAATTATTTTCATTGAATCGTGGCAGAGACATTTGTTAAGCAAGACTTAACTATTCTGAAAACCATGATATTCTATGAAGTGCACAACAGCAAGTGGGACAATGCAGTTCAATTTTAATAATGAAAGAATTAACTGGGAAAAAATAAGCAGGGAATTTACACACATCCAATGCAAAACTATTTTTAAGTACTAAAACTCCCATGCTAGGAATAGAACAACTGACTTCTGAGATATTTAAAGTCTGTCTGAAACATGTTCCTTTGTGGATAGCTAGAAAGAGGACCAATGTTGAAAGAGAACACAGGAAGAACACTACAAAAGGTAAAAATGGAAATGCTTAAGCACACACAACTATCCCTACTGAGGAATAATAATTTAAACAGGGAGATTGAAGAAATTGAGCAGAAACAGAAGCAATCATATCGGATTGAGGAAATACAATTAGAACAGAAAGCAATACAAGAGAAAGAAAAATACAAAATATTTCTTCACATATGAGAAATCAAAATCAATAACCACTGTCAGTGGACCTATTCTTACAAGTGAAGGTTCATATACAGGATGACAAAGAAATTAGTGAAATCCTTAAAACAGTGTGAGAACATGTTTAGCACCCCAGTGAATAGCATGAAAGTGAAAGATCCTTGGCCATGCTTTGGTGGGATTCGGGGAGTTCTTCTACTTCCCAAGTTTGACTTGCGAGAGCTTAGTCCAACAGGTTGTTGCTCAGCGTAGCCTGGTTGGACCACATATCCACCACAGCCTGGTTGGCTCGGCACCACCTTTTCCTTGAAGTCAAAGGTTCATTTGACTATTGCATGGGTTTGGTTGAAATTTTGACTGCAGCTCCCACTTGTGCAACTTTCAATGACTGGTGGATTCTGACTCTTAGGTCCTACATATCCTACTTGCATGAGGAGTGAAGGCATGTTGCCGAGACCTATGAGCAGTGTAGGAGAAAGAGGCTAAAGGTAATACAACTTAACAACTACCACACACGGTTGCATCACAGAACCAGTGCTTCATAAATGTCAAACATTACATTTTTGTATCCAAAACTAAATCTAGTGTATTTATAACACAAACAACATCCTCAACCACTTTTTAGTTGCTGCCAGAAGGTTGCATGCAGTTCTTCCCCAATTACAATACAATACTTCAACTTTATATACTCTAGCTGTCATCGTGGGTTTAGAAATTATTTCCAAATTTATTTCTACGAGATTTTTTACATATATTTCTACGAGAAATAAACACTACACAACAGAACTGGTACACTATGTACCATAAAGAGTTCCACCTTCATCTTTACCTTGCATCTACGTACATTTTTTTAACCCTGATAAATTCAAATTTCTTAGATTTTAAAAATACAGGCAACACATAAAAAAAAAATCAGTTCAAAACATTTATTTACATACAAAAAATTAGTTTATATTACAAATTATCAAGGTTCAAATCAACATTTCAATTCTCGGCACATTTTAAAAGATACAAAAATGTGCCAGCTGATAATGAGCTATTTATATTTTCTTTCTAGAAAATGTCAAAAATTTGTTGAAAATGTTGCTTAATAGCAAATAAAACATACTCTATTGTGGTAATATATAACCCACACAGTACAAAAAAACTAACAGTGCTATTACCAATTCTAATACTGTACAGTGTCTACAGTAATTCGGCTGGACATTAGGCGTTAGCACAGCAGATCATGGAAACAATTCTAATGAAGATACTTACAACATTTAATCGTATGTATATAGATGTTCGGTATTTAGCTTGGGCTTATATCTATAAGACTTTTTCTCTCTCAGAGCTTTTGGAATATAAATTGGATCGTAGTCATCTAGCCGCCGACTGCCGGGATCTTTCTGGTTACTGTGAGCAAGAGGGGGGAAAATATTGCATTAATATTACAGTAATAATAAATTTATCCATTACAAAGATAATTTCGGCTGAAAAAATATACACAATTGTTTTCATATTGTTTTAGGTAAACTATTTTGGCCTTGACACTAACTATACAATATTATCCATGCTTATTACACCACCGACCCATTTCTTGAGGATAAAATAGTGACGACAGGTTGTTTGTATGTGTAAAACATCAAAAGAGGTAAGAGCTGTTTAGAGAGCTAAACATTAAACATTCTTGAAGTTATAAAATATCAGGAAGTGTATATCAGTACAAAGTGGTGGTGTAACCATATGTAATCTTATTAAAGAAATGTACAGCTTGGCCATTTGTAAACAGACCCATTCATCCTACCAATCAATAAATACATCTACTAATTAAATTCACCCTCGCTCAAAGAACATTTTATGTACTGTACTTTAATTCATTAAGGTGACTGAAGACTAATGAAAATACAGATAAAATATAGCAAGAAAGAAACTACTCAAAAGTGTCAACAAAATTAAGCTACTCGACCTGGTAGCATCCAAAAAAAATATAAAATGCTTTAAGTACTAAATTTCATCATTTGTATTGGAAACAAAAAGTGATCTCATTTAGTGATATGGACTAGAACAACTCACTAGTGGGGTTCAAAGAAGCGTCTTGGTGGGTGGAAGGGGCGCGTTTTGAAGTTAATTTTGTATATCTGTTCCCAAAGATATATCTCCGGCTTGAGAATGTGACGTGGACGACCAGAAAAGAGATGCTGGAGATATGTGTGGAACATCTCACGATATTCTTTACGGGCCGGGTGATCTGCCAATAGCTTTAAACAAAAAATGATTGTAGTACAGAACTGAAGCAAATTTATTCAAATTAGTCACAAACAGAATTAAAAAAAAACAGAATGATACAAGAGCATTTACACAGCATACTGAAAATGTGTAAACTAGAGTACCCTTAGATAACTTATAATTTGCAGGAAACTTAAAAAAACTCTTAAATCCAGATATATTCTAGTCATACAACTTACATTCATAATAGAATATTTATATGCATAAATATTTAATCAGAGAACCTATTATATTGATGAGATATGCATATATGGAATCTACAAGTTACAAAATGTTTAAACAAGCTGTATGTCACAAACATCCAAAACCCTACTTTCCTTCATGTCACAGCTGACAGAAGCAACTACAACCTCAAGAATACACTATTGTCTAATAATCTCGTAATGCTCAGTTATCTATCTCTTATACAATGGAACATCAGTGCTCAAACTTAATTGGTTCCTGACCAATTATAAAATGTATTTATAATCTTTCAAGTGTTCTGACATTAAGTTTAATGTTACATCTTTCATTTTTGGTACCAAATTATGCGCAATTTAAAGGCGCTCATTTTGAAACTATCCCAAGGCCGATCGGATAAAAAATGAATTTTCTACAAATATTTTATTGTTAGACTCAAATAGTGTCACGAGATAGGACTTGGGAAAAAATTGGCGACACATTAAGTGTTACGAGATAGGGAAAGTGTTAATACTAAATTTACCGAATAATCAGAGATAAAAGTATTCATGGAGACGAGAAAAGTTTGTACAGTTCTCTTATTTGTGTGTGAATGCTGCACTGAAGTGACTGAAATGCCTTCAGCAAAAATATTAATCTGGTAAGATTCCTCAAAATCTGTACAATATACAGTATTATATGACAATTAGTATTTAACCCAGCGCTTCCAACATCACTTTCTCATCATGTTTAATGAAATCAAGAAACCATAAATTATAATATGATCAGTACCTTATTTGATCCTAGATATGGTGTTGGATTCTCTCTTTTGATGCCTTTCTTGAGGAATAAGGAAATCAAAGCAGTAAGTACTTCAGAATTAAAACCCTTAACACCACTGTCATCTACGGCCTCAAACAGGAACTGCTCTTCACCAAGCCTGAAAAAATATAAAAAAGCTTCAGCAAATTCATTGTATACCTGCCCAGCCACCACTAATCTTGGTATGAGGCAACATTTTAAAGTAAAAGGTTTCTATATCATAAAAAAAGAACTATAACTTGCAAGCTAATGGTCCAGTATCTTCGCCAAGTTTCATAAATCGTCTAATAGTTTTAACAATCTATTATCTTGACATGATTTCAGGGCTTACTGTCCCCGCGGCCCGGTCCTCGACCAGGCCTCCACCCCCAGGAAGCAGCCCGTGACAGCTGTCTAACTCCCAGGTACATATTTACTAGGTAACAGGGGCATCAGGGGTGAAAGAAACATTTTGCCCATTTGTCTCCGCCTCCCCCGGGGATTGAACCCGGAACCTCAGGACTACGAATCCGAAGCGCTGTCCACCCAGCTGTCAGGCGCCGTGTATTAACACAGAGGACCAAGAACAATCCCACACTTATACAGGTAGGGCAATAAAGTGGGTTGCATTTCAAAAAGTTGTTCATGAAGCAGTTGTTTGGAATGCAGAACCAGATGTCTCAAAAGTGCAATGCTATAAATAGGGGGCAAGTCCCCAAACCACCAAAAATCATTGCATAAAACCAATATTTTTGGAGATAAATGGTACAAGAAACACTGCATTTTATTTATCCGAAAGGCTATATTATCCAGTTTGTAAAAGTTGACTAAAAAAAGAGGGGGAATAGATACAAGGTGCAAATGGCTAGGAGGCAGGGCATAGAGCTAGATCTCATTTTCCTGTCATCACTGATGAGTAAGCATCACTTTTGCATTATCTCGGGATATTCAAAATATACAACATCTACTCTTGATGTCAAGATTATTAATCACATTAGAAAATACTGTAGTACAAGTGCAAAATAAAAAAGGACAATATATAAAAACTAATATTTGGTTACTTGGTAAAGTTACAACCGGTGAACAAATTTTACCATAGGTGAATGCACACTAGTTCATCGGGGTACCTTCTCCCCAAATTTTGGATTAAACCGTATAAAAAGCAGGAAAGAAAAAAGGAAAAGGTAATTATCATGAGGTAATGCTAACCAGTGTGATTATATAGCACTTAGGACACGAGGACGGAGTGAAGGAATGTTGCCCAACCACTTACACCACCAGGAATCAAACACTTCTGAAAGAAGTGAGGCTATCACTACCAACCAGTCCAAGCAAATGACAAAAGAGGGAGAGAGAGAGAACAAGGAAATGAGATCAAAGAAAAAAAACTCAGTCTGTTCCATTACTCTATCTCTAAATTATTCTTTCAATAATTCATTGGTATAGTATTGTCTTCCTTTTGTCCCTTACTTGTGCCTTCGCATCTTTTCAGTTTCCACACCTTATTTTCATACATGTCAATGACAATTTTCCCCCACATCTGGTTTCCCTGTGCAGACAAGAACTGGTACTCTCACTTCCAAGAGAATAAAAGCAGTATTTTGGAGAGAAGAAAGGTGAATATAATAATGTTATACAAGAATCTAAGGGGAATTTACACAGCAGCATTGTTAGAACTAGGAACAGCAGAACAAGGGGGCACTGATGGAAGTTGGAGACAAGTTGGAAAGATTTTTTTTCTCAGGAGTTAGAGACTCCTTTGACTAGAGACTCTGAGATTAAGTGGAATAAGTTATACCAAGAGGAGATTGAAGTTAACTTAATGAAAAAGATTAAATGTAAATCTGATAGAGTGGGAACCAAGTCATTGCATTAATCCAAAAATGTTCGGGAGGCGTAACTAGGAGCCGAGCTCTTCCCCGTAAGCACATCTTGGCAAGTACACCCACACAAAGCAGTTTTCAATTTTAAGTAAACAGAATAAATACTTACCAGAGAATATTATTATAGGGATTTTCCTCAGCACGATCACAATGTAATGTGCTAGTATTTAGCTGATACATGCTGAAGTGCCACTGCTGACCATTGGTAAGAACAGACTGCTGGACCAATGGGTATGTGAGCTCTGTTACTGGGCCAAACCCTGAAATGAATGTATTAGTCTTAATAAGAGCTATAAAACAGAAGCATGACAATTATGTGTGCTTATATTGTTAGTGAATCAAATTACTAAAAAATATTTCTTCCTTTAGGAGGTTTCTTTACTGGAAAATTGCTTAACTTTTCAAGAACCTGAAGTATTAAAAAACTTTATGCTGATTGGAATATCACACAAGTAAAGCAGTGTGCTTGGCTTACAATAAGAAGCATGGAGAATTAGACAGTAAGTCATGTTAGAAAATGGAGGAGGAAAATAGCAAATCATAAAGTAATGAACAGTGCAAGTTTGCACGGCAGAAATTTTGCAAGGGAAACTGAACCCAGAGAGAGGGAAGGAGGGAATAATCAGGGGGAAGCACCAATCCATTACGACTATATAGCACTTGGAAGGGGTTAGGGTAAGGATTTGGGAGGGGAATGGAGAAAGGAATGGTGCCCAACCACTTGGACGGTCGGAGATTGAACTCGGACGTGCACGAAGCAAGAGCGTCACTCTACTGTCCAGCCCAAGTGGTTGCACCCAAAGAAAGAACAAAAGAACATTTCCAATGAGCTTCCAAGGAAAGCAAGAGTGACCTGGAAAAGCAACTCAAAGAGGAAGCAAGCAGGCAAGACTTGACTAGGGGACATACAAGAAAGTCAAAGAGAAGGGAGGACACCTCTAGGGTGTGAGCAAACTCCAAAAGAAAAAAAAAAAAGTCCACAAAAGTCATTGACCTAATTTCATGGTGCCCATAAAGACAAACCCTGGTCAAGCACTAGCTAGAGAAGAAAAAGGCAAGGTACGGCCTGCAAATCAAAACAATCCCAGAAAGAAAGCTACAAACCTGCCAACAACTCAGCATGCACGATGAAAGTTCAAGGGAACCTAAAGTAAGTACCAGAAACTCAAAGTGCAGAAAATAAAAATCAGAAGTACTGTACAAGAAAGCCCACTACCAAGGTCCAGAAGACTGAAGGTCCAGTGACCCACCAAGACCAGGATGTACACAAAGGAACAGCCTACACCAGATGTCAGGAAAATGAGAGACTAGGGATCTACACATGAACGCAGGTCTTGGAAATCAGCGAGAAGAATGCAGCTCACATCCAAGAAGACCGAGGAGCATTCTGAAAACACGTGTCTCAAACAAGGAAAGACACAGGCCTCTTGGGTGGGGGAGGGATGTACAAATCCAAGGACCCAGACAAAACTTGAAATCAAAACAGAAAAATGAAAGAGTATGATACGAGTAATTATTAGCGAATTACATGATGGGGAAAATGATATATGCAATGATGTAATGTGGTTAATTAAGGGTAAAGACGGATATATAGCATCTAGCATGACTAAAAGCAGATCACAAAAAAAAAAAGTTAGTGAACACTAACCAAGGTAGCTAGCATGTGCTAGAGCCTGGGTGAAGGACGATATGACCACTTTCTGAATTAAAGCTGTATTGAAATTGTGCGCACCAAATTCCTGTACAAATTTGGGAAGTATCTCCCGAGTATGCATCCAAAGCTGACTGTGTTCCTTGGCTTCCCCCGGCCAAAATCCTGTCAAAGAATTAACAAATGGTTACCAACACTAAATTATTAACAATTTAGTGTTCCACTGAAAATTGCTCTGCTTGTGAGTGTTTATTATACTTAGCAAATTATCCCACAGAAAACTATGTTTGTTTTCTTCTTACAGAAACACTGACCGATAATGTGCACACATTTCTGTATCTTTCATTATTAATTATGTTGAACAAAAATGAGGACTGTTGAAAAAATATATGTGGAATGTAAAAAATATTAATAAAAAATGGTTAATTCAACAGTCATGCAAATTCTATTATCAATTTATTTTGCATCCATACTCCAGCAAATTCATATGTGAACATTTTTACATCAAATTTATAGTAATAATCCAAAAACTAACAGACAACATTAAGAGTGTGAACATTTTAGGTGTCGCTGAACAGGATCCCGAAATGACTGCCCCATTTACAGTTGGGAACACACCAGTGGGCCCGAATGTTGAAGTACAGTGGCACCTCGATTATCGAGCGGCTCTATATACAAGCATTTCAAGTAACGAGCGAGCCACTTGCAGAACATGTCTACTAACGAGCTTTTCCTCGATTAACGAGCGTTTCCACTGGTTCTCGGACACCTCTTACGACAGTTTTGTTGTTGTTTCGCAAGATGAGTTTCCACATGACGAGCTCGGTGCCAGAATGGATTAAACTCGTTAATCAAGGTGCCACTGTATTAACAAAATCTTACTGAAGCCAATGCCCATTTTTCAATTAAATGCTAAAAAAACACATACTACATAAAACATTACCACCACATGGCAGCTCAGTATACACATTAAAATCTTAATATATTTGGCACATCCTGTGTGTCTACCTATTGTATTTGTCAGTGTATAAAACACACCTAATTTTCAAGGCTACTGCAGACTTTCTTTTTTATTATGTTTCATCATAGATATATTTGAAAGTGATTTTAAACTGATTTTGCAAGGTAATACATATGATTTTGTGCAAGTATAAAAAAATTAATTATATATATTTACCTATATACAGTATATTCCATTGGTTGTGACCCCCCCCCAAAAAAAAATATATCTGGCAATAAATACTGTACATTAAAATTATGTTACTTCTTACATCACTTGCTCTAATTCTTCAAATTGAATAAAATAACTAGGACTAGATTATGTTAATGCATTTTGCATATAGACCACAAGGCAAGGCAAGTCACAATTGGACAATTTTTAAGAGACCATTGCAGTGCTGCCCTGTAAAATACCTGGGAGTTGTGAAAGGAGAAATCAACTTGCCTGTCACTGTGATAGCATGCTTGTGCTTGAAGTGAAACCCATAAGAACGAGGATCACTGGAACTGTTGGACACTAGACCCGACTTGGACAACGGATCATCTCGACTGACTACTTCTGGGAGAAAATCGGCCACGCGTACTCCCAGGCACGGCGTGCTTGTTCCTTGCACAGGCCTGCATCATGTGAAATACAGAAAGTGGCATAAATATGAAATGAAAACAATTCAGTTACATAAATGTAAACAAAGGGGGACACAGTCTGAAGTTCCGAGACCATTCAGGTATCAATACATCCAGGAGCACGAATTAATAATGTTTTAATATAGGAGCCGCCCGAAATGCATGCTAGTGGCTTTACAAGAATGTAAAACTTAAAGGCTCTGTACTCTAATAAACCCAATGTACCTTTTTTTTTGTATATAAATAAATAAATAAAATAAAATAAAAGGAGAGTACTCGGTTTCTCATTTATCATTGTGTGGTTACTTGCCCATATACATCATATATTATTGTGCAAACAATGCCCTAGATATTAATTTTATGAACAAGATTGCTCACTAGATGTTAGAAACAGAAAACAAAACATTAAATTTAATCAATTTGAATAAGGGTGCATAGCCCCATTATATCCTCACCATGATTATCAGAGTTACCGAGCAATCAAGAGTTTTTAAAATTTCAAGGTGAAAATTTTTAATTGGCAATTTTACATATTAAACTTCAGATTATAATTCAATAGAAATAGGAAGGGTTAAAGCGATATTAAAATAGAGAAAATTTATTTTATAACAACATGCTACTGATATAAAAAGTAATTTACTAGTACCATGCATCAATTTGTTTTTAATTACAGGAAATACAGTAACTTTCAAATTATGGGAGTATCTCTTCGTTCACCCGAGACACGTTCACTTTCCTCTTATAACATTCTAAATTACATAACTTCATTGATCAAAACATTCAGATAATATGCACAATTTGGTCAAATTAAACCTGTCCCCTTTGATTTTAGTGTGTTGTTTCTTCCTCAACTCGAGACATTGGGTGTTAACGCACCTCGGTACTGTTTTCCCTGAATTACTCTTCATGATGTGTCTTTTTCCCAGCTATGCATGTCTTGCATTTGTTTGGCTTCATTCTCGATAGTCTGGCTCTTGTGTGCCTATTGTGCGAGTAATTTTGGCCTCCTGGTCTCTCGCCTAGATCCTTTCCTTGCTTTAATCACAGATGGTGTCCAAGGTCCTTTAATGGTACCCATCTTACTTTTAGTGGCTAGGTCTCATTCCTAGTACAGTACACTGGTACCTTTGCACTCTAACAGCTCCCAATTATAACAACTTGGCATTCGAACCCTTTATTCAAGAAGAAAAATGCTCGGTAGTCAACCACTAGCTTGGCACCCAAATGATTGGTCAATAAATCACAGAACTATATATAACAGACCTCCAACCCTGTCCATGAAGGACTAGAAAATGTATATATGCTGGTTAGTATTGTAAATGTGTGGCCACATCTGTGGTAGGGAAACAAAAAATCTCAAATGTCCATGCGTGTAATAAAAAAAAGAGTCAATTTCCTAGCGGTGTCATTCAGTGCACCAACCCCCACCAAACTTCTCTATAAACTTTGTTTTCTTGGATATTTTTTATATTCACAGCATAAATATAAGTCACAGTGCCACCTAAGGAGGTTAGTAATAAGAGCCAAACAGAAGTAAAATTAGTTAGAACCATAATAGAGATGAAAAAAGAACTAAAATATGGAAGTGGTGCCCATGTGTGTTTTTGTTAAGAGTTTAGTTTACCTAAATTTACAATCTTTACAATACTTGAAAATAAAAAGGTCAAAGGAGCAGCTGCAAGTAAGTAATTATCAAAAGGAAGGCACCAGACTGGGAAGAGCAGATGCAAAAGGGGTAAAGGAGTGAAAAGTGATTACAAAACATAGATCGTAGATTACTGAAGTGACTACAAAATTTTTGCTGATTTGGATAAATGAACAACAGTTGGCTGGTGATAGTATATCTGAGGTAATCATTTGTGAAAAAGGCAAAATACCTGCATCATTTCTTACAAAAAAAAAAAAAAAATCTGATGCTGTTATGAGAGAATCTTACAGTGTAGTTTCACTTCTCCAGAACAATGTGTGCTATGCAATCTCCAATTAATAATACAAGTTTGCCATTTTAAGGCTTGCATAGAACACTGATGAAAACACTAACTTATTGTATTAAATTCTTATAATTTTTTTTCACTTTGCAATATAAAACATTAAATACTGCTTATTACCTGTTTTAGTGTGTGTTACCAAGGAATTAGACCTGCAATCATTTATTATGAAAATTTATCTAGTTGTAGGAATGTAAGAAAAAATGAGGTTTGTACATTCAAGTTTGCCAAGGAAAGAAAAATGGAGAAAAATGGAAAAGCAGTAGAGTGCTCATTTGAAACATAGTTGTTATAGCGCCAGGACCAGCACGAAAAGGACCAGCAATGGGAAAAATGGTGAAAATTCAACATGACTACTTTCACCATTGATCTTTGTAATGACTGAACTGTGCATATACACTATCAAATATCAAATGAAGTTTAACAGAAATTATTAGCAATTCTGAAAAAATTATACCTGTTAATTAAATCATTCTCAAACTCTTTCAGAAATTTGTTATTTCTCCGTGACTTCTTCAACATGACATCTGGTTCGATGCCCCCAAGAAGCCAGAAAGCTTCAACACGAGGTTGTATATCTACCTGTAAAGAAAAGGATAATGTTAAAATTCACAGAATGCTCATTCAACAGTATAGGTTGTGAGTAGCGAGTGTCAGGGTAATAAAGTGGCTGGTACAATGAAAATAGAAAATATGAAGTTAGGAAGTGCTGCAGATAGAGGGATGCTTGAAGGAATGTTAATACTTGCCCTTACTTATGCAAGAAAGATGTTCATTTGGCAAGACCATCTTAAGAAAAAAAAAAAGAAGCAGAAATAGATGATCAGAGATGAATGTATGTTAGAAACTTTAATATCAAACAGATGATGGTACTACTAATGAAGAAACTTTAAAAGTGAATTTAAGAGAGGCAAGGAAAGCCAAGATTGGGAACCATGGTCAATGTATAAAGAAGTGTGGATCAAGCGAGACCGCTCAACCCATGTGGTACAAGTTTGTGAAGAATAGTTATTACACACCAAAATCACAATAGCATGATGCATCAAATGAACAAATCCACAAGGGCGGTAATGACGATTCTAACCTACGTCCGAGAGGATTCCAGACATGCTTTAATCGACTGTTCCACAACACTGAAAAGAATTGCAACCGGGCGTTCATCTGCCCTCACCTGCCCTGTGTGTCTGAGAGACTGCAGGATACGGATCCTGCAGTCTCTCAGACACAAACCAGGGTTTTACACAATTTCCCCATGCACCTGGGCTCTGTCAATAAGCTGTTCGACCTCTTTGCCCTTACTTCATTACACACACAAATCTCAAGGTGATTAAGGCACGTCTGGGATCCTCTCTGACGTAGGTTCGAACCCTCATCACAGCCCTTGTGGATTTGTTCATAGGAATAGTTATATTTGTATATGACAACTGACAAGAAGCATTTTACAGTTAGCCTTATGTAGTAGTGGAGTTATGACATGGATGCTTTACTTTAGTGTGATGGTGCTGGTTCTCCAAAAGGTGTGCAAAATATGGGGAATGGATGTGTATAATTTGCGAATACTTAATGATAGAAGGTGAAGGTAAGGAAAACCACTACCAAGCCAATAGGCATAAAATCCATGCTTCTGATAAGAGTATGAAGCTGCTCAACCCAACAAGAAAAAAGAATTGAAAATGAGAATCCTTAAATGAGGTAAGAAATCCAAAAGCAAGCAGTAATAAACATATCTCCCCCATAATAATAATATGTAATAATAATAATTATATAACTAAGAAATATTTCAAAGATTTCTATTGCTCTATTTCAGATTAGATCAAATTGACAAGACATTCCTACACCATCTCTACCTATAAAATAGAACAGTGCTTATCTGTCCAAAGAAGGTCAGATGCTTAGCCTTGCTCAACTTTCCATAATGATATATATATATATATATGGGGATACATGTTATAGGCCAGTAGTGGGCCCCTGTGCCATCCTTCAAAAAATATTGGCATATATAGTAGCAACTTGCAATTTCCAAGCAGTCTGAAATTAGTGATGCGTTTTCCTTACAATTAGCTATTAATTTTTCGGCGATTCATAACATTAAATTTCCTGGAAGGGAGGATAAGAGTCAGGGAGAGAGGAGAGACCCAGGTGCAACCGGATACTGCAAGGACTAATCTCATCAAGCACATTACATCAATAGTGTTGTATGAAAATATCCATTGCTCAAGTATTAATTTCCAGCCAATTTTATACTTCAGGTGATTAATAAATTAATTAGAATTCCAGTAATGAAGTACAAGAAACTGAAGAGATAATGTAAATTACTTCTTGATAGTTTCGTTTACGTCATATAAAATAATTTATACTAGAACAGCCACTGGGGAAAAAATAAAACCCGAATTAAAAATCTAAATTTTTCCCCTTTTCCTTAAGCAGCTGGAACTTAAGTACAGTATTAACCAAAATGCAAGAACCACTTTTATATTCTTACCATAGATTCTTTGATGTGTTGCACAGTAGATGGCAATGATGACACTATAATTCTATGCAAGCCGAGCAGGAAGTTCTTAGTGTGGTGCAGTTCATTAGCACGGCTAGTGATCTCCATCTTCCTAAGTGAAACACCAAACACAAATCGGTAAAATAAACTGCATAAATTCATTATATAACGGAGAATTTATGCTGTAGTCATCCACTGTGCACTACAGCATTTAATCACAGGGAATAAGCTAATCTCTAGATTTTAAACAATTCATAATTGATAAACACCTCCAAAGGGATACCTAACCAACTGGGCCGTGAGATTTGTATGTTAAGACTGAGTAGCAGCATCTAACAACCTGATTAATCAGACACCAACAATGCCTGGATAGAGGCCAGGCTGTGGCGATATTGCTTCCCAGAAACAACAACGAGTAAAGAGACATTCGAGTTGAGAATGGTCCAGGACGGACCAAAACGTCGTCGTCCCTTCACCTTCTAGTGTGTGGTCTGGTCAACAGGTAAGCAATTATTTCATGTATTTTCACATATCCTAAATGTTAAGTTGAATAGAGCAGGACACATCACGCTGTAAATGTGCAGAACTGAAACATTAATAACTTTGAATTAGTATGAGAAGACAAGATATGATAAATGTAATGTGATCCATCTGAGAAAAATAATTTTGACACCTATCATGTTCCTTAAAGTACTAAATTCACTCAATATTTTGGTCCATCAAAATGCAGTATTATTGAGATGGATGAGAAATGGGGGCAATAAAAAAAAACGATGTCAGAGGTAATGAGTAAAATTTTCTACCCGTACAGTTCAGTTCGTTCGACTAACATGGTAATTCCGAGATCGAATGTCAGACGAGACAGAAATACCGTAGGTGCGAGTATTTCCTATTACCTAATGCTCCTATTCACCTAGCAGTAAATAGCTTTCCAGGAGTTATAATCAACTTATTGTTGCATCGCGGGGAAGGTCAGTAATTTGACCCTAGGGGTTGAAGATCATCTGTTTTAGATTTAGCTACTCAAAACGAAATGTACATGTAGCACGGGCTACGGCGAGCCCCATAACTGAAGATCCGACACTAACCTATTGATACGGCCATTAAAATGCAGATCAATGAGATGATGGACCTGATCTGTAATGAGCGCCCCTAGCCTCTGGGCCTCTAGGGTCAGGTCACTGTGGTAGTGGTGAGGGAGGCGCCGCACCACATGAGTCCTGGTGGCGTACTGCACGAACTCCTCCCCCAGCAGCCTCGGGTGGTTGTCGTGCAGGCGACACGACCAGTAACCGTAGTATTTGGGCATGTTCATCTCCATCATCTTCTGCTCGACGGTGGGCAGGCGGGTGATCTTGTCGTGCCACTCCGTCGCCTCCCGCAGCTTGCGGGCCTTGCGGGACGTGTCCAGGATGGGAGGGTACTCCGGGGTCTCCGTGTATTCACTCTGGGCCGCGGCATGTTGGTAGTGGCGGCCTGGACACAGTGTTAAGCGAGTAAACTTCAGCAGGCCGGGACCTGCACTCTGCCTCACTGCCTGCATGGCGGCCCACTGCGGCTTCTCGCGGCCTCGCTACATACAAATTGCGGAAAGTAGCGAAGAAATTGCGGAAAAGTAGCGAATATATTGCGGAAAGTAGCGAGCTGACGGTCTAAAAGTAGCGAATTTGTTATATGTGTAGCCCAATTTTTTGTTTTTGTGACTGATATGGGTTTCAGAGTAATATATTTTAGTATATAGCATACACTACACGATGTTAATTGTTTTATTAATATTTCTGCACACTAAAATCATTGTAAGTAGATGCCCGAAATGCTGTGCTTATCAGAGGCTTTTGGCATACGTATGTACTAACTTTATCTACAAATTCAACATTCTGCGTGTAACTTTTTGAATGTATTTACTTTTACCTGAATAAACTATTATTATTATTATTATTATTATATAGATATTAAATGTGAGCTGAGGTGCTTAGCGCACTGCTTATACTGTTGTATACCTTAATATTATCTATTAGTAAGGACTTTGTCTCTTATTACAGAACGAATAGACTCAAGATGGTGCAAACAATACAACTGCAATAATCCACTGGATTATTTGCAATGTTTGCAACTAGACCGCAGTTGCACACTTCATTGATTTTTTGCTGCCTGAGGTGGATAGTTCATTAAGCATATCCCTTATTCAACCAGTGAGTGGTGGTTATTTATGCACCCCAAAGCACGACCAGTTGTGTAACCAGACCCCAACCAGTTGTATAACCGAAGCCCGACCAGTTGTGTAACTGCAAACCTAGCATGAACGAACAAAACAACCTCTGGAGCACAACTATGCACGAATCGAAGCCCGACTATGCACAACCCGAAGCTTAAATGACACATCCGGAGCCCGGCCAGTTATTTAACCGGAGCCCGACCAGTTGTGTAACCGAAGCCCGACCAGTTGTGTAACCGGAGCCCGACCAGTTGTGTAACTGCAAGCCTAGCATGAACGAATCAAACAACCTCTGGAGCACAACTATGCACGAATCGAAGCCCAACTATGCACAACCCGAAGCTTAAATGACACATCCGGAGCCCGACCAGTTATTTAACCGGAGCCCGACCAGTTGTGTAACCGAAGCCCGACCAGTTGTGTAACCGGAGCCCGACCAGTTGTGCAACTGCAAGCCTAGCATGAACGAATCAAACAACCTCTGGAGCACAACTATGCACGAATCGAAGCCCGACTATGCACAACCCGAAGCTTAAATGACACATCCGGAGCCCGACCAGTTATTTAACCGGAGCCCGACCAGTTGTGTAACCGAAGCCCGACCAGTTGTGTAACCGGAGCCCGACCAGTTGTGCAACTGCAAGCCTAGCATGAACGAATCAAACAACCTCTGGAGCACAACTATGCACGAATCGAAGCCCGACTATGCACAACCCGAAGCTTAAATGACACATCCGGAGCCCGACCAGTTATTTAACCGGAGCCCGACCAGTTGTGTAACCGAAGCCCGACCAGTTGTGTAACCGGAGCCCGACCAGTTGTGCAACTGCAAGCCTAGCATGAACGAATCAAACAACCTCTGGAGCACAACTATGCACGAATCGAAGCCCGACTATGCACAACCCGAAGCTTAAATGACACATCCGGAGCCCGACCAGTTATTTAACCGGAGCCCGACCAGTTGTGTAACCGAAGCCCGACCAGTTGTGTAACCGGAGCCCGACCAGTTGTGCAACTGCAAGCCTAGCATGAACGAATCAAACAACCTCTGGAGCACAACTATGCACGAATCGAAGCCCGACTATGCACAACCCGAAGCTTAAATGACACATCCGGAGCCCGACCAGTTATTTAACCGGAGCCCGACCAGTTGTGTAACCGAAGCCCGACCAGTTGTGTAACCGGAGCCCGACCAGTTGTGCAACTGCAAGCCTAGCATGAACAAATCAAGCTACCTCTGGAGCACAACTATGCACGAATCGAAGCCCGACTATGCACAACCCGAAGCTTAAATGACACATCCGGAGCCCGACCAGTTATTTAACCGGAGCCCGACCAGTTGTGTAACCGAAGCCCGACCAGTTGTGTAACCGGAGCCCGACCAGTTGTGTAACCGAAGCCCGACCAGTTGTGTAACCGGAGCCCGACCAGTTGTGTAACCGGAGCCCGACCAGTTGTGTAACCGGAGCCCGACCAGTTGTGTAACCGGAGCCCGACCAGTTGTGTAACCAGAGCCCGACCAGTTGTGTAACCAGAGCCCGACCAGTTGTGTAACCAGAGCCCGACCAGTTGTGTAACCAGAGCCCGACCAGTTGTGTAACCAGAGCCCGACCGGTTGTGTAACCAGAGCCCGACCGGTTGTGTAACCAGAGCCCGACCGGTTGTGTAACCAGAGCCCGACCAGTTGTGTAACCAGAGCCCGACCAGTTGTGTAACCAGAGCCCGACCAGTTGTGTAACCAGAGCCCGACCAGTTGTGTAACCGAAGCCCGACCAGTTGTGTAACCGAAGCCCGACCAGTTGTGTAACCGAAGCCCGACCAGTTGTGTAACCGAAGCCCGACCAGTTGTGTAACCGAAGCCCGACCAGTTGTGTAACCGGAGCCCGACCAGTTGTGTAACTGCAAACGTAGCATGAACGAATCAAACAACCTCTGGAGCACAACTATGCACGAATCGAAGCCCGACTATGCACAACCCGAAGCTTAAATGACACATCCGGAGCCCGACCAGTTGTGTAACCGGAGCCCGACCAGTTGTGTAACCGAAGCCCGACCAGTTGTGTAACCGAAGCCCGACCAGTTGTGTAACCGGAGCCCGACCAGTTGTGCAACTGCAAGCCTAGCATGAACGAATCAAACAACCTCTGGAGCACAACTATGCACGAATCGAAGCCCGACTATGCACAACCCGAAGCTTAAATGACACATCCGGAGCCCGACCAGTTATTTAACCGGAGCCCGACCAGTTGTGTAACCGAAGCCCGACCAGTTGTGTAACCGGAGCCCGACCAGTTGTGTAACCGGAGCCCGACCAGTTGTGTAACCGAAGCCCGACCAGTTGTGTAACCGGAGCCCGACCAGTTGTGCAACTGCAAGCCTAGCATGAACAAATCAAGCTACCTCTGGAGCACAACTATGCACGAATCGAAGCCCGACTATGCACAACCCGAAGCTTAAATGACACATCCGGAGCCCGACCAGTTATTTAACCGGAGCCCGACCAGTTGTGTAACCGAAGCCCGACCAGTTGTGTAACCGGAGCCCGACCAGTTGTGGAACTGCAAGCCTAGCATGAACGAATCAAACAACCTCTGGAGCACAACTATGCACGAATCGAAGCCCGACTATGCACAACCCGAAGCTTAAGTGACACATCCGGAGCCCGACCAGTTATTTAACCGGAGCCCGACCAGTTGTGTAACCGAAGCCCGACCAGTTGTGTAACCGGAGCCCGACCAGTTGTGTAACCGGAGCCCGACCAGTTGTGTAACCGGAGCCCGACCAGTTGTGTAACCGGAGCCCGACCAGTTGTGTAACCGCAAGCCTAGCATGAACGAATCAAACAACTTCTGGAGCACAACTATGCACGAATCGAAGCCCGACTATGCACAACCCGAAGCTTAAATGACACATCCGGAGCCCGACCAGTTGTGTAACCGGAGCCCGACCAGTTGTGTAACTGCAAACGTAGCATGAACGAATCAAACAACCTCTGGAGCACAACTATGCACGAATCGAAGCCCGACTATGCACAACCCGAAGCTTAAATGACACATCCGGAGCCCGACCAGTTATTTAACCGGAGCCCGACCAGTTGTGTAACCGAAGCCCGACCAGTTATTTAACCGGAGCCCGACCAGTTGTGTAACCGAAGCCCGACCAGTTGTGTAACCGAAGCCCGACCAGTTGTGCAACTGCAAGCCTAGCATGAACGAATCAAACAACCTCTGGAGCACAACTATGCACGAATCGAAGCCCGACTATGCACAACCCGAAGCTTAAATGACACATCCGGAGCCCGACCAGTTATTTAACCGGAGCCCGACCAGTTGTGTAACCGAAGCCCGACCAGTTGTGTAACCGAAGCCCGACCAGTTGTGTAACCAGAGCCCGACCAGTTGTGTAACCAGAGCCCGACCAGTTGTGTAACCAGAGCCCGACCAGTTGTGTAACCAGAGCCCGACCAGTTGTGTAACCAGAGCCCGACCAGTTGTGTAACCAGAGCCCGACCAGTTGTGTAACCAGAGCCCGACCAGTTGTGTAACCAGAGCCCGACCAGTTGTGTAACCAGAGCCCGACCAGTTGTGTAACCAGAGCCCGACCGGTTGTGTAACCAGAGCCCGACCGGTTGTGTAACCAGAGCCCGACCGGTTGTGTAACCAGAGCCCGACCGGTTGTGTAACCAGAGCCCGACCGGTTGTGTAACCAGAGCCCGACCGGTTGTGTAACCAGAGCCCGACCGGTTGTGTAACCAGAGCCCGACCGGTTGTGTAACCAGAGCCCGACCGGTTGTGTAACCAGAGCCCGACCAGTTGTGTAACCAGAGCCCGACCAGTTGTGTAACCAGAGCCCGACCAGTTGTGTAACCGAAGCCCGACCAGTTGTGTAACCGAAGCCCGACCAGTTGTGTAACCGAAGCCCGACCAGTTGTGTAACCGAAGCCCGACCAGTTGTGTAACCGAAGCCCGACCAGTTGTGTAACCGAAGCCCGACCAGTTGTGTAACCGAAGCCCGACCAGTTGTGTAACCGAAGCCCGACCAGTTGTGTAACCGAAGCCCGACCAGTTGTGTAACCGAAGCCCGACCAGTTGTGTAACCGAAGCCCGACCAGTTGTGTAACCGGAGCCCGACCAGTTGTGTAACCGGAGCCCGACCAGTTGTGTAACTGCAAACGTAGCATGAACGAATCAAACAACCTCTGGAGCACAACTATGCACGAATCGAAGCCCGACTATGCACAACCCGAAGCTTAAATGACACATCCGGAGCCCGACCAGTTATTTAACCGGAGCCCGACCAGTTGTGTAACCGAAGCCCGACCAGTTGTGTAACCGGAGCCCGACCAGTTGTGGAACTGC